AGAGAAAGATAGAAATTATGTGACATTGATCTATTAAGATCAAAATAAACTATTGATTTATTGAACAAAACATTCAATTATCTGTTGATTTTACCTGAGACCGTTATGTCTGAATATTTTATTCCAAATATGGAATGTCAATAACGGTAGACATAAGTAGTTTTTATCTCTTTCCTCTTATTCAACATACAGAGGGCTTCAGTTTTGTAAAAAAATAAAAATCAGAAATATTTTTTAAATGATAATGTGAATTGCTTTGATGTTGTTCAATACACCAAACATTCATTCAGTGTCTTCCTGACCTTTGAACTAGTTGCATGATTATTCAACATAGACCTTTTAGAATGGTCAAATAAACATAGATAATTTAGCAAGGACAAAAGATAGGATGTAAACAAAGTTCATGATAATCGGAAAAACGTACTCATACCAGATTTGATTTAGATTTATTTTCCGAAAAGTTCGGAATAGCTGCCAGTAGGAAGGCTAGATATTCTGTTAATGCGCAAATACTTGACTTGTAATATATTGCTGTTTGATATTCAGTGAATCTAGACAATACCAAAATGACCCTTGTTATGTGTTAGAGATATAGACTTTCTACTTCCTGGTTAATAAAACGATGAGACATGTCTGGCACCTATTGATTTCTCTAGGTTTCTTTTATTATATTTATAATACCATTTTTTAAAAAGAATTCTTTAATTAAAACTAAAAATGCATTTTTCAGATAAATTCAGAGAAAAATATATGAGTTTCAAACAGTTATCCCATACTTTTCTAGCTTGTAAAACAGCCTATGCAGTGCCCCGAGGTAATGTAAACATGTGATTTTGTTTACCACATAACTTAAAATCAATGAAACATATATTCAATAAAAAGTTCAGATAGTGCATATAAATGCATTTAACTTTGATCCACTAGTAGTTGAATAGGATATAAAAAATGTAACTTGTACAAATCATACTGAATGTTAGCTGTTATTGTAGATCTACAATAGCTGTAGGTATTTGCAGCTCCATCGAATGTTCACTTTCCTCTTATACATGTTCTGCATTTTCATTTGTTTGTCATGTTTGTCAGACATTTTGTGTTTTGATCTTCATATTTGTGTTAGAACACAGAGAATGCTGTATGTGGGCCAAAAATGGAAATATTTTTTTTTTTCTCTAAAGTTCAAATGGGGTAATTTGGCCGTATTTCTTTAAAGGACGTCTTCTCTGAATCTAATAGATGGTTTTTGAACCAAATGTGACTGAAAGCATCCTGAGGTAGTGGGGATTCAAAATTATACAAATGGTGAGGCTGACCCCTAGGGGGACTGAGGGCGGGGCCCAAATGGGTAATTTGGCCATATTGCAAGGCCCAAAGTCCAGAAAAAGCAAATAACTGCTAATTAGCTATCAAACTGTGAACATTTTGATAGACTTATGCATTTGAAAGTTGTAGGGACTAATTTGTTAAATATTTGTAAATCTTTGAGGGTCAAAGGTCATTTGCAAGTAGGAGATCTTACACCACCAATTTTCTCCAAAACTGTTATAATATAAAATCTTTTTGTATAGGCATTTGCAAATAAAAGTTGTAGGGACAAATGAAAGGAATATTTTTGCTAAATTCCAAGGTCATGGGCTCAAAGGTCAAAGGTCTGAAGATCAAAATGGCCTAAACTTTCAACAATTTTCTTCTCCAGACCCATATATGCTTGAAGCCAATACTCTTCATATATGGAAGGGTCTTGAGGTGCCTTATGAAAGTTCTATAGAAGGTCATTCAAAGATAAACACAGATATTTTAAACTCAACTTGTGAACATAGTTTGTTTTTTTTTTTAACCATGTTTTGTACTTTTGGCTTGTATCAAAAGGTGTGTAGTTGGGCAGGTTATTTCAAGGTTGGAATTTAGTTGCATTATTGATTTATTGTTTGAAGGTTCTTTCAAGGTTAAACTTGGATAACGTAAACTCAAATTGTAAAAATATTTTGAATTTTAAACTCCTGAAATATTTGGGACGTATTACTCTTGATTTTTGGCCAAATTCTTTGAAAGGTTGCGGCAAGTTTAATTTGAGAGTTGGGCTTAAATTACCTTGCTGATTTATTAATTGCATGAAGGTTTCATTAAGCTTTAGATGAAGAATTGACCTACATTTTCTGCAGCTTTACCCAGTTTTCAACTTACGTCCATTTGTATTTATAATGATTGGGTTAGCTGATTGGTTCAGGTCTGGTTTGCATAAAAAATGTTATGGACACATAGCAACAATCCAACCTTATTGCCATTAGCAGTTTATTGTGAATTTGTTTTGGTACAATGTGACTTGGACCACCTGTAAAGACATGCATGTGAATGTTGTGGGAAATAAAGTAATTGTTAATATGTGTATCATTGTTCCATGAAGTTGAATACAGATACTTATTTATTTCTTTGTTTGGTATTGTTTTTTAAAGACCAACAAACTGCTTTGTTTCCATTATTTGCTGCTGAGGTCACAGTGAATTTAATGTCCAATCAGCATATTAAGGCTATTTACTGACTGATTTGCCTGTGACAGTTGAGTACCTGACAAATTGCACACTGTAGGCCTAATGCAGCATCTTTTTATGTACTGAAAATGCCTTTATTACCCCAGTAAATTGAGGTTTGAGAACAGCCCAACACTGAAGGGAATGTTCGTCAGGCTACACACCATTATAACTATGACATGACAGACTAGGCCTCAAGGCAGGAAACAACATCCAGGGACATGGACTAAAGCAGATATAGACACAAATAATGGGACAACATAACCTTTACCTTAGCACATGTCTAAATAAGGATTACCACAAACATAATAACCAGAAACATGTATTTGGTACATAAAAGAAAAGGTGTTGTATCAAAAGTGTGCACATTGATGCAAGGATCTGAGTTTTACCTCCATGTTTTCTTAAAATAGTACTTGAAGCTTCAGGGAGCCCAGGTAATATATAAGGAGAGCGCAATGTGGCTTTTGTTGCTTTAAATTCCAGGTTCTTTCCCATAGTGTGTGTAAGTACGCACCAAAGCCAGATTGCAGTTTCCTCACTTTCGACATTTAAGAGAATAAGTGAAGAGACTGGTTTGGCCTAGAGTAACATTGCACCCTGTGTGTATACCTCTTTATGATGGTGTCACCAAACATGGAGTGTGTATACCTCTGTATGATGGTGTCACCATACATGGAGTGTGTATACCTCTGTATGATGGTGTCACCAAACATGGAGTGTGTATATCTCTGTATGATGACACCATGCCTGGAGTGTTTATACCTCTGTATGATGGTGTCACCATACACCAGTGTGTATATCTCTGTATGATGACACATGCCTGGAGTGTTTATGCCTCTGTATGACGGTGTCACCATACATGGAGTATTTATACCTCTGTATGATGGTGTCACCATACATGAAGTGTGTATATCTATGTATGATGACACCATGCCTGGAGTGTTTATACCTCTGTATGATGGTGTCACCATACACGAGTGTGTATATCTCTGTATGATGACACATGCCTGGAGTGTTTATGCCTCTGTATGACGGTGTCACCATACATGGAGTGTTTATACCTCTGTATGATGGTGTTACCATACATGAAGTGTGTATATCTATGTATGATGACACCATGCCTGGAGTGTTTATACCTCTGTATGACGGTGTTACCATGCCTGGAGTGTTTATACCTCTGTATGATGGTTTCACCTTGCCTGAGTGTGTACCTCTGAATGATAGTGTCACCATAGTGCGTGCGTGTGTGTGTGTGTGTGTGTGTGTGTGTGTGCGCGCGCTTGCATTCTACGTGAGTAGTTATGTAAAGTTTGCTGTAAGCGACTTAAAACAAAATGAACACACTGCTGGAAATCCCTGTTTACACGATTGCGATAAATCCCTGTTTACACGATTGCGAATTGGGAAATTTACGGTTTGAACTAATCAGGAATAGCCGAATCGGAGTGCATAATGGCATAAATAGCCTGTTTCTTTCTATGTTATCTAAACAGCCAAAGCAACAACTCAAGTGAAAAATACAGCTGATAGGAATAAAACTAATTCCAATGATGAAAAAAAAAAGTGAGAATACAACTTTTACCTCTGTATCTCTACAATTTCAGTCTCATTTGCAACCTTGACTTCTGTATCCACAGTGCCACTAACTCATTTTACCTCTACATCTGTATCTGTCCTACTTACAAACTCGATATCGATGTCTCTGTCGCCTGTTTAAATAGTTTGACTTTGGTTAGCATATTTTTTCTTCTGAAAGTTGAAATACAATTTTAGCTATGCATCATCATTTTCGAAGTGCCTTTTGAGACCATAAATTGACAGACGATTCCTATTTCAAAAAGTACATATTATTACTTCGATAAAAATAAATAAAATGTTCGTTTTGAACTAATTCAATTAAGAAAAAAATTGTGAACAATTATTTAAGAAGACATGATTTTAATTCATGTCTTACGCAGGGCTCAAAACCGAGAGTTTTCCTTCCCTGCCGCTTGAATATAACATCCGGATATTAATCGTGTTTCCGTTATACGGTCATACTCTTACTGTAGCCAAACATAATCTTCCTAAACGCTTGATCATAAGATGGAATATCACTGTAAGTAGAGCTTGAAAAGAACGGCGATCGCAGTAAAAACGAAAATTTGTTGACCGAAACCAAGATGAATTATTTCCTGTACCGTCAGAAAATAGCAACGGGTTTGTTGCACGCATATATAGGACTTTGCGTCTCGCTAAAATAGGCTAATTTGGGGTTTATATTGATTTTCTGCAAATCCCGGTGCCAAGAATGTGTGTCCCAAATTTGAAGATGTTGCAGAGGGTTCAAGAATTATCAGCTTGGATGGGGATTTGATAATTCTGATACAGATCTACTCAGAGACACCATGTTTTTTCTAAGTTAACGGAAAAAATGACGTGTATGGTTAAATCAAAGGTGTAATTCATTTATTACGTCTGAAAATAGTTAACATGGAAGGAGAATTAACTTGTGGAATCTGTTTAGAGTTTTTTGACAATCCCCTTATGCTACCATGCAGCCATAATTTCTGTAAGAAATGTTTAGAGGGAATTATTAATGCCAAACAAAATTTCCGTATGAGGCGTCCACCTGGTGTCAATATCGACTGTCCTCTCTGTCAGAGACATTGGTCCTTGGACAATGGTCTGGATGGATTACCTGGAAATCTTACACTTGAAAACATCATCTCTCATTACAAGTCAAAAGGAGCTATGCCTTATAGTGAAGCATCATGGAATTGTGATTTAGATATAACCGAAGTTATATGCAAAATGCATAATCAACCAATGACCTTTTATTGCATGACCTGTGATTTTGCTGTGTGTAAAGACTGTGCCTGTTGTATTGAGAAGGGGTCAAAAATGGCTCATCGTTGTGCTCAGATAAAGGAGCATGCATCATACCTCCAGGTATAATGAAATTCTAGTATAAATTGGAGTGAAGTAATCAGTTAAGATCCTGTACTGGTAATACTCATTAGTTTGTAAATAATGCTATGAGTTTATTTATAAGTTGCAAAGCAGTAGTGGTGACTATTAAGTCCATACAAAACTATTATGATAGTATTGCTATAGTAAAACTACTATTGTGATATTATTGCGATAGTCAAGTAACTTGTGATACTATCATATTTTTCAAACCTTTGAAATGTTTTCATATCAAGAAATAATTGTTTAATTTACCAAGTGGTACAGATGAAAAAACTATGTACAATTTGTATACAATCAAGTATGTACCACAGTGATATTTGTTACACTATTATATTTTAATGTTATTCATTTTACACATAAACATGCTATTAGGCGATAATTGTGTAACTCACACACAGCTGAACTCATGATGATACAATATCATATAAGTTAATGTTAAGTCAACCTATGATTATACCACTACAAAGCAGGTGAATACCAGATAACACAGAGCTGTTGAGCTTTTGATTTGATAAAGCACCCCATGTTAAATTTTTAAGTAGGTCTGAGGTTAAAGTCCTGTCAAGCAGCAGTAAATATTGTTGTCTTTATAGGGGGCAAAAGCTCAGAAAAGGATTTAAATTTGAAGCTGGACTGCATATAAATAAAAAGTATACTTACTGTATTTAACTTTGTTGATGATGATGAGATACAAATTTCTTACATTGGTAAAATTTGACTACAGTTAGAGGTTCTTGGTTTATTGCATTTAATTTTTTGTCTTCTGTTAATCAGGTACATGTATATGTACTGCTTACATACTATAGACAACCATCAATTATACCATGTTTTATGTAGTGCTGTAGAGGACAGGAAGGTTATAAATATATATTGTTTTAGGTAGTTCTGTAGAGGACAGAACAGGAAGATTATAAATATATAATGTTTTATGTAGTTCTGTGAAGGACAGAACAGGAAGATTATAAATATATAATGTTTTATGTAGTACTGTAGAGGACAGGAAGATTATAAATATGTAATGTTTTATGTAGTGCTGTGATGGACAGGACAGGAAGATAATAAATATGTAATGTTTTATGTAGTGCTGTGAAGAACAGGACAGGAAGATTATAAATATGTAATTTTACATGTAGTGCTGTGAAGGACAGGACAGGAAGATTATAAATATGTAATGTTTTATGTAATGCTGTGAAGGACAAGACAGGAAGATTATAAATATATAATGTTTTATGTAGTGCTGTGAAGAACAGGACAGGAAGATTATAAATATGTAATTTTACATGTAGTGCTGTGAAGGACAGGACAGGAAGATTATAAATATGTAATGTTTTATGTAATGCTGTGAAGGACAAGACAGGAAGATTATAAATATATAATGTTTTATGTAGTGCTGTGAAGAACAGGACAGGAAGATTATAAATATGTAATTGGATGATGAATCAACAAGCTAAGGTATGATTTGTATGTTGTGTTTCATAAAATTGTAGTGTTAGTTTCATAATTTAGCAATTTAATCCATGCATTTATTATCTATATTTAAAGTTATATACTACGTATACACAAAATCCTTAAACAAAGTACAGCAAAATATTCTAAAGCTATTCAGCTGTGTAAGCATTTGTTTTTTGAATACATAACAGATTATTTGCTGACAACATTTAATTTATTAAGGTCATGCTGTGTATTTTCATTTTCACCACATGAACCACCACTGTAAGGGCACAGACATCCTATTGTGTTTAGTGAGAGGTCACTTCAGGTAGACGGATATGACTACTGTCTTATCAACATTTATAGCATTGTTGGCTTTGGGCAACTTTAACATTTAGGTCATACATATACGTTTGTTTACTGTAATTTATATATCTATATACCTAGTGTTGGAGTGTTGACTTCATCATTCAATTATATGCCTAAAAATTTGTATTTGTCATATGGGTCATACAAGTGTATTTGACTCGACAACATTGTACACACAATGTACAAAAACCATTCTGTAGACATTCCATTGACCCAAGATAAAAAAATACTAAATCTGAGATGATATAAAATGTTCATACTGTATATATCTATTAATTAAGGCATGCAATGTATGTGTCATCAGGGTGGTCATTTTGTTTTTATACACCTGTAAAAATTAGGATGTGTTATGGTATACCATTGTCTGTCTGTCTCAAACTTTATTTGTCGGGAGATTTCTTTCTACAGTTATCATTTGATCTTTTAAACCTTGGTAAGCTTATTCAGCTCAACATAAATTTATATTTTCTTGGACAACTGTGTGATTTGATTGTTTTTATAGGAGTTATTGCCCCTTGTTTTCATTGTGTTGATTTTGACTGGAGATTTTCTTTCCTAGTTTTCTACCAATATTTTTGAAACTTTTTAGGCTTTATCAGCGTAATGTTTTACACTAATTTCACTTAAACTTGGTGGGCTTTATAACCATTACATGAAACGATACAGGTGTTAAATGTAAATTGTATCTTTGTGAACCTGTTATAGTAACAAAATAAACAAAACAGAAATGTTCGGGGTACACTGTTTAGACATGTACAACAGCTTTATTTTAATTGGACTTGTGTACCTGACACTAAAAACTTTCATAACATTTTTCTATTGCCAACATGTGATAGACATTTACATGTATGAACACTAGTTTACAGGTGTAACATTGTAATATACAGAATGAAGTGTTATAATAGCTGTCTTAAGTGCTATAAGTCTGAACCAACCCTACCATGGAATAGGAAGACCTTTAACGTACATGTAGATGTTCTCATCCTGTCCTGTTTCAGGCCACTATATCCAGTAAACTGACAGAAGTAAAGAAGAAAGTGATTCCTCTCAATGATCGCATACAGCTGCTGGAAGACATCATTCGAGGCATAGATGTAAGTATGCTTGGGGTAGACACCAGTATTTAGATTAAGAATTATTGATGTTGATAAAAAGGTAATTGGAAACATTTATATATCAGTTGTTATGATGAATATCCATTTGTATATTGCTGATGCCTACAAAGTTGCACTGTACCTCAAGTTCAAAGTCTGATTTCACAGTCTCTGAGCTCAAAGTCTGATTTCACAATCTCTGAGCTTAAAGCTTGTGATTTCATAGTCTCTAACCTCAAAGTCTCTGATTTCATAGTCTCTGAGCTCATAGTCTGTTATTTCACATTCTCTGAGCTCAAAGTCTGTGATTTCACAATCTCTGAGCTCAAAGTCTGTGATTTCACATTCTCTGAGCTCAAATTCAGATTTCACAGTCTCTGAGCTCAAAGTCTGTGATTTCACAATCTCAGATCTCATAGTTTCTCGATTTCGCAGTCTCTGAGCTCAAATTCAGATTTCACTGTCTCTGAGCTCGAAGTCTCTGATTTCACAATCTCTGAGCTCAGAGTCTCTTATTTCACTGTCACCGAGCTCAAAGTCTCTGATTTCACTGTCTCTGAGCTAAAATTAAGATTTCACAGTCTCTGAGCTCAGAGTCTCTTATTTCACTGTCACCGAGCTCAAAGTCTCTGATTTCACTGTCTCTGAGCTAAAATTAAGATTTCACAGTCTCTGAGCTCAGAGTCTCTTATTTCACTGTCACCGAGCTCAAAGTCTCTGATTTCACTGTCTCTGAGCTAAAATTAAGATTTCACAGTCTCTGAGCTTAAAGTCTGTGATTTCACTGTCTCTGAGCTCAAATTCAGATTTCACAATCTTTAAGCTCAAAGTCTGTGATTTCACAGTCTCTGAGTTCAAAGTCTGTGATGTCACAGTCTCTGAGCTCAGTCTCTAACTTACCTGCACACTTCTTAAGGACCTCCAGTGCTTATATCAGTTGATATATACTGCTGGATAAAAGAAACTGTAGTTTGATTGTTAAATTTGTAAACTCATACTTAAAATAATAAATTATATTTTGTACCCAATTTTTCTCTACATTGCTTTATCTTCATAATGATGCCTGTGAATCAGACTATCATTCAGTCAATATTGAAAGTTATAGCCTCCAAAAGGAATACAAACCCAGATTCACAAGTGAATGACCACTATTTGAATTGATGCATGCTACATGTTAACTTTACATGAAAGTGATCAAATTATGCTGAAATATATTGGGAATGTTCTGCAATATGTCTGACATTGTACTACATAGTGCATAAGACATCAACAGAGGGTTTGACTTCTGTTCTATTTCAACCAAAACATGCTTGATTAGAGACAAATCTGGTGATACAGTCAGTGTTCAACACATTTTAAACTGGTAGACAAGAGGACCATCCATAGAAAAAAAATCTGGTAGACCTGGATAAAGCGAGGCCAAAGGCTTGGTGTGTGAGTTGGGGGTCCGGGAAAATTCCCCCCTCAAAACCTGAAACCTATGTAGATTGCTGTAAGTGCATGCATGATCCCAAGGAGATACCATCATGCATTTGATTCAGACTTAGAAGATGATGTGCATTATTCACGTTATAGACTAAGTCAGAAATAAAAAACAATGAAATGTACAGTTTACAAATGTCATAAATTTGAGGTGGATACCCGATGATCATAATTGTATATTTATGATTATTTATGGCGAAATTTTGAACGTAGCCCGCTAGACGACTGCAAAATGGTGTTATACTGGCTGTTACGGATAAATGGAAGACCATATTGACATAGGATTTTGTCACAGTAATGCACACCAGTCAAGTTGCCTCCCACTTTAACCAAAGGGGTCCTTCCATGTATTGTAATGCCACACAAATGATAACGTCCTGCACTGAACTGACAAAGCTGAATTATACTAATATCACTGTAATGACCTTGCAGCTGATGGTAAGACTATCACTGCTATAAAGGTGAAATCTGGACCTGTCTGTGAATAGCACTTCAGTCCCAGTTGGTAAATTGCAAATGTATCCTGCATAATGCTAAGTGCCCAACTCTGTAGCAAATCTGAAAGGATAGCAAGACATCATGGGCTGATGTTGGTCTCGCGCAATCTGTTTCATATGGCTATGGAACTGATCTGTTTAAGTCCTGGAATGCTTCTAGTAGTCAATGAAGAGGTCTGAAACCAATCACACAAATGCGAGGTCTATATAGGTATCTTGCCAACGTAGCTTCACACAATGAGGTCATGTTCAAAGAGGGTCTCGTGACGTATTTGTCTGCTGGATATGCCTCCTAAAAAGACTTATTAATGTGAACCTCAAATTGTCTTGCCACATTATTCTGACATTTCCACCAACTAGCATGCCAATAACACACAAACATTTATTTTTGCCTTATGCGACATGTTCCTGGCAAAATTCTCTGATTTTTTGCTACAGTGAATAGAATACTACCCATAGATACAAGAAAGTTAGACTTCTCTTAGTATGCGTTGCCAAGACCAAAAAGTTCTAAACCAATTCCGTAAGCTTTTGATACTAATAAACATAATTCTTTTTAAGTAATTGGTAAGAACTTTATTGGAGATATTCTGATACATTTTATTTATACAGGCAGTTTTTTTTCATTGGTATATTAGATGTTATTTGATATCGATAAATTCATCATTTATGGAAGATAAAAAAGTGTGATCAAGGGGCATTGGTAAGACTGAGTCAGAAAAACTAATTAGAATACAAGATAACTTGAATGCCATTGTATACCAGCATTACTGTGTACCTTTTGTCAGTAGACCCTGGTTAAATCTTAACTATGACTATTCAACTCTTCAAAATCTGAACACACTATTTTTGTCTCCAAAACTGTTCTTTTTTGTTTGTTGTTGTTGTTGTATTGATGTGATATATACACAAGGGGCAATAACTCATTTTAGTTTAGGATGCACGTTTAATGTTCCTCATACTAACAGGAGAATCAGAAGAAGGTGGAAAAACAACTGGAGTTGGAGATTGCCTCCCTTGTCTCTCTCCTTAACAGTCGCCAGGAGGAACTGACCCGTCTTCTTGGTAATGATATCCAGGACATTCGTAGGCCAGTTGAGGACCACTTAAGGCGGTACAAGAACCTCCAGACAACAATACAGGAACATTTCAAAAAACTCAGTATGGTCAAGGGTACCAAGGACATCAGTCTTAGGATCAAGGTCAGTAAATACTGGGACACTTGAAAATACAGGAACATTTTGAAAACCTCAGTATGGTCAAGGTCAAGGTCAGTAAATACAGGAACATATCGAAAATCTCAGTATGGTCAAGGTCAGTAAATACAGGAATATTTTGAAAAGCTCAGTATGGTCAAGGTCAGTAAATACAGGAACATTTTGAAAATCTCAGTATGGTCAAGGTCAGTAAATACAGTAACATTTTGAAAAGCTTAGTATGGTCAAGGTCAAGGCCACTTAATACAGGAACATATTAAACAGTCAGTATGGTGAAGGGTACCATGGACATAAGTGACCATTTTTCTCCAAAGCGACCACAGTGATTGCTGTGCTATGTCATTGTTCTGGTTTCCAGCAGTAATACAATGCACAGGGATAAACATTATTTTGTATAAGAATCCCATTATCTTATATTTTTGTGGTATTTGTTCTGTATTTGTGTATATTATACTGTACATATTAGGGATGTCAAGGAATATTCAAATATTCGTTCAGTAGTGCAGTACTCGAGTAATTAATAATACTTGCATAGTTGTTTTCACATTTGTATGATATCAACGTTTGGGAAGATAACTTAAGTTAATCTGTTTACTGTCAATGAATTGTTGGAATTTCTTAATGGAATTTTGTCAGCTAAATTACCAAAGTATTATTAGTGTTCAAAGTTGTACACCTGTACAACTCATCTTGACACTAATTAGTCTGAGGGCCTGAATCACCACTATCCAGGTAAGGTTCACAACTCATGCATGTGAAACAACAAAGATCAAAGCTGTACATGTAATACTGTCATGAACTTAGGTGTTAACAGTATTGTCAGTCACTTTCATCAGCATTCCATTGTGCCATTTCTGTTGAAGAATTAAGGACAGTAATTATGAAATACAGGTAATATGAACATCCAATATTATCATCTGCAGACATTTTAATTTGGAATTGACATGAAAATGAAATATTCAAATATTTGAATACTGAGTCAGATAAATATTTGAATATTAATTTCTATCGAATTGACATCCCTAATACTACTCTAAATTGTTTTGGAAAAAGGAAGAGAAAAAAGAATTCAGCAGGTAAATAAACCTGTGGTATAAATTAGAAGGAGAATGCTTTGTATACTGGCATACTGTCAGATATGTAGGTATAGTACAGTAGAGAAAACCCTGATGTGTGTTTATAGAATATCATATGTAGGCTTTTCTGCATGGCTAACTTCAGTGTTAACAAAATCATTATTGAATCCAGTTAGATATTTGGATATATCAGCTGTCAATGTTTTGGTGAAATCTAAGCAGATTTGAAGAGTTTGGGGTTTTAGATACGGTTGAACTAAGTACTATGTAAATTCATTTATACAGCTGATGCAGGATTCTGAAAAACAGTTAAACAGTCTGCTGTGTTTTGACCTGGCCTGGTTTTCATCCAATGACATGCCGGCAGTAGATATGCCTGCTTGGTTACTACAGAAACACAATGTAGAGAACAGTATTTCAGAGCTATCATGGCAAAAAACAGGTTTGTATACTACATCGGGGAATAGGATGGATATGGGTAGATAGAAACACTCTAGTGTAATAACACTCTTCATTGTCAGTCTGTTCACAATCTCTTCCTCTCAAAGTGTAAGATTTTTCTCAAGACAAGTTGAAAATATATTAAAGACTTACATTAGAGTAATTCCTTAGTAAATGTTTGAAATTTCAGAATGAAAAAAATATGTCTTCCATTTTAACAATTATAAAGGATTTATAAAAAACATAGTGTATAATTTATAAATATTTGTTCTCTGTGTTGTATAGAGCCAAGGAAGTTGCAAACAATGAATGCAGTTATTTGTAAGACTATAATATGTTTTGTATGAGGCATTGTGAAACAGTCTGTATAGTGACAAAGTTGTGTGAGGTATCGTAAAACAGTCTATATAGTGACAAAGTAAAATTGTGTGAGGTATCATGAAACAGTGTATATAGTGACAAAGTTGTGTGAGGTATCGTGAAACAGTCTATATAGTGACAAAGTAAAATTGTGTGAGGTATTATGAAACAATCTATATAGTGACAAAGTAAAATTGTGTGAGGTATGATGAGACAATGTATATAGTGACAGAGTCAAAAAGAAGCTTCAAACATTGCTATGTAGTAATATAGTTTATTTTGTTTTCCTTACTTTTATTCTTTGGATTGTATAACCAAATAAGGTCTCTATATGGTTATTCTTAAAAAAGTTATCTATGAAAGCAGATATTTATAATAGTCAGTATGAAAGTGTGATATTTAAATTGTTATTGAATTTTCCAGGAGGGGACGGTGCCAGGCCATTGATGCCCCTCGTGCCTTTGCAAATGCCAGTGCTGAGTCAGTCAGAGCCAGTATCAGTGGGATTCAGTAGTCGAGGCAGCAGTGCCGAGCGAGACTCACCAGGATTGACAAAAACACCAATAGTTTCCAGTTTTGATTCAGGATTTGATTCAGGAACTAAAATTGCCACAGGGTCATGGGAAGCTGGCAGGAAATTGTCACAAGAAATGGCCAAAACACCTGTTGTCCCTGGATTGGACTCATTTTTTCAGCAGTCAAGTGCAGCTTCCTCCAGCCTGTTTTCTTTGCCTCAGGGTAGCACTAGTACAAAAACAGATACTTCCAGTACCAGTGGTTCTATCAATGTTCCAAAATCTAGACGCTCTGACAACAGTGTTGATGTTTCTTTCCCATCTGGGGGAGGAACAAAGCTATTTAGTCTGTCTCTTTCAGGGAACGGAGGTCCCCCCAATGTAGTGAGAGCTCCAACAAGTGTAACCATGACAACACAGAGGCCCGTTTCCACTATACAAACAGCTATGCCTCTTAAACCAACAAGTACAAGCTCTACTTTTAAATTTGAGAGCTCTACAGATCCAAGTGGTGCTCAGTCAGTCATGTCTGGAGCTAGACCAGGGGAGACAACAAGGAAGTATCCAGTATTAACTACATCTGATTTTTTACCGAGGAAGTCAGTCTCAGGCCTCAGTAAATCGGGTAATGTGATGTCTGCCATGCAGGAACAGCCTATGGAGGTAGTGTCAGAGTCCTGTTCCATGGCCAGTAGTATATCTGTGTCAGTGAACAGTGCTGCTCCCCAGAGCAGTGTAGCTACTGTTACCTCGGGACTTGACAAGCTCTCTCTCTCAGATACACAAACTTTTCCTATGTCATCTTCTGTTATTTCTCCCTCCATCAATCAAAATACACCCTTCGAGGTTAAAATTCCAGTTTTTTCTGGAAATTCAAATAATTTGAATTCCAGTTCAGGAAGTGCTTCAAGTGGAGCTATTTCATTTCGAGTTTCTCTTGGTCAAAGTTTACCTCCCTACTCTCCTTCAGCACTCAGCACAGCTGAAAAGCCAGCCAGCATGCCTCATTCTTCTAACATCAATTTCAGCAAGCAGTCAAATATTTCAATTAAGGGAGATAATCCATCCAAACAAACAGCAGGTGGAGCATCTGGTTCAAAGACTGAATCTCCAAGTGTAACAACTTTGACATTTGGTGTGAAACCCAAAACTTCAAGTGGTTTCATTTTTCCAAACAACCAAAACATTTTCAAGCCAGTGGTAAGTGCTGCCATCACAGCCACTTCAAGCACTTCTGAATCTGTTGTTTCTCAATCAGCCACTAACTCATCCACACCAGTATCAGATTCTACAGAGACATCACAGCAGATAACCCGACGATCTAGTGCTCCAGTCCTGTCAACAGCCAGTGATGGTAACGAGGAAGAATCAAGGTCAGCAACTGACGGGGGAGTGACAAACTTTGGTGATGGCCTTCCTAAACTTTCATCCCGTGATTTTTCACCTTCAAGGACAGGATCTCCTCCCAGAACTGTTATATACCGACGTACTCTTAAACCCAAGAAGAATTTGCCTCGAAAATGACTTTTTGTTGAAAACGTTATTTATGTGTTACTGAAAGTTTACTTGTATATTGCAGCTCTGTTATTTATTTCTTCAAAAAGTTTTGTTTCTATTGTAAAAGTATTCATTGAACACAAAATATACCACTGTCATTCTCTTCAGATTCAGTTAGAAAGTAGCGTTTATCTAATCTGTTTTAAGCTATTCAAAGTAATGAATGGGATAGATTTTGTTTAGGCAATGTACCTAAAATACTGATACATAAAACAGTTTAAAGGTCATCAGATCAGCAGGGTTTCAATAACCTTTCATCTAACATCATGCTTTATCCTCTGTTTTGTGCTGTGGTCAAAATTTTGCTTTTAGAAAAGATTTACTCCTCCTTAATGCTTTAGTCAAGGGGGTTAGTAAGTGTAGAGTAGGGGTAGGGGCCCTGGTATTGGGACCCATATAGAAGGTAATAAAAATCTTACTTTAGGTCACTAATGGTCCTTAATGCTTAAATGCATTATAACCAAATTTAGTCTGAAACACCATTGGGGAAGGCAATCAGTTATAGAGAAGTCCAGCAACCTTCTTTTCAAATTTCAAATGGATAATTCATATAGTGGATAAATCGTTTGATTGTCAGATGACTGTTTAGGCCTCTTGTTGTAAATAATTAAATTGATTAAACATTGAATATCAGTTTAATCCTATTTAGTAACAATTATAAATCAGCTGGTCCTACACATATATGGAGATTTATGATACAATTACTTAAGTCCGTGGTTCCAGAATCACCTGGTTCCTTTTTGTACATAGATTTGTAATCTTGTTCTAAAAATAATTATTACAAACATTCATCAGTAAATCTGTACAGTTATCACTAGTACAGATGACTTGTCTAACATGGAATGATATCCTACAATTACTATATCACTAGTACAGATGACTTGTCTAACATGGAATGATATCCTACAATTACTATATCACTTGTACAGGTGACTTGTCTAACATGGAATGATATCCTACAATTACTATATCACTTCATATGAATGGAGTTTAGGAGATCACATATTTACACATGTATTGTCACACCTTCTGGTATTTACACATGTACTATCACACTGTTTACACATTTGGTATCACACTATTTACACATTTGGTATCAAACCTACCAGTATTCACATATATACCATCTTAACTCTTAACAACTGTACTAATAAACCTGTTTACACATGTACTATGACTCTGTTTACACATTTATTAACTCACCTGTATATACATGTACTTTCACATGTGTCACACATGTACTATCATACCTTTTTACACATGTACTATCACATTTATTTACTCTCAAAAATGTTAAGCCATAAGATACTGTAAAATAATGTATTTTCGAGGGGCTCAGTTTTCAGGGTCTTTAGGGGGAAAAAGAAAAGCAATTTCCTTGCTTTCACTTGATTTCGTGGATAGTTATGTCTCAATTAGTCTACTTTAAGTAACTTTTTTAACAGTTCATTGACATGTGAATACATGGGTAAAGGATACGCACAAAATCAATGAAAATAGATCAGAAAATTTTAGTGTACAATCATTGAATTGTAAAACACTTTACTCTGCCTTATGTTGAGATCTATGGCCAGGCGAGGACCTCCAAATAGTGATGATATCTACAGCCAAAATAAATCCCTGACTTGTAATGATATCTGTAGCCGGGATAGATCTCTTGACTTGTAATGATATCTACAGCCAAAATAAATCCCTGACTTGTAATGATATCTGTAGCCGGTATAGATCTCTTGACTTGTAATGATATCTGTAGCCGGTATAGATCTCTTGACTTGTAATGATATCTGTAGCCGGTATAGATCTCTTGACTTGTAATGATATCTGTAGCCAGTATAGATCCCTGACTTGTAATGATATCTGTAGCCGGTATAGATCTCTTGACTTGTAATGATATCTGTAGCCGGTATAGATCTCTTGACTTGTAATGATATCTGTAGCCGGTATAGATCTCTTGACTTGTAATCCCTGACTTGTAATGATATCTGTAGCCGGTATAGATCTCTTGTAATGATATAGCTCTTGACTTGTAATGATATCTGTAGCCGGTATAGATCTCTTGACTTGTAATGATATCTGTAGCCGGTATAGATCTCTTGACTTGTAATGATATCTGTAGCCGGTATAGATCTCTTGACTTGTAATGATATCTGTAGCCGGTATAGATCTCTGACTTGTAATGATATCTGTGTATACTTGTAATGATATCTGTAGCCGGTATAGATCTCTTGACTTGTAATGATATCTGTAGCCGGTATAGATCTCTTGACTTGTAATGATATCTGTAGCCGGTATAGATCTCTTGACTTGTAATGATATCTGTAGCCGGTATAGATCTTGTAATGATATCTGTGACTTGACTTGTAATGATATCTGTAGCCGGTATAGATCTCTTGACTTGTAATGATATCTGTAGCCGGTATAGATCTCTGACTTGTAATGATATCTGTAGCCAGAACAGATCTCTTGACTTGTAATGATATCTGTAGCCAGAACAGATCCCTGACTTGTAATGATATCTGTAGCCGGTATAGATCTCTGACTTGTAATGATATCTGTAGCCAGTATAGATCTCTTGACTTGTAATGATATCTACAGACTTGTAATGATATCTGTAGCCGGTATAGATCTCTTGACTTGTAATGATATCTGTAGCCGGTATAGATCTCTTGACTTGTAATGATATCTGTAGCCGGTATAGATCTCTGACTTGTAATGATATCTGTAGCCGGTATAGATCTCTTGACTTGTAATGATATCTGTAGCCGGTATAGATCTCTTGACTTGTAATGATATCTGTAGCCGGTATAGATCTCTTGACTTGTAATGATATCTGTAGCCGGTATAGATCTCTTGACTTGTAATGATATCTGTAGCCGGTATAGATCTCTTGACTTGTAATGATATCTGTAGCCGGTATAGATCTCTTGACTTGTAATGATATCTGTAGCCGGTATAGATGACTTGTAATGATATCTGTAGCCGGTATAGATCTTGACTTGTAATGATATCTGTAGCCGGTATAGATCTCTTGACTTGTAATGATATCTGTAGCCGGTATAGATCTCTTGACTTGTAATGATATCTGTAGCCGGTATAGATCTCTTGACTTGTAATGATATCTGTAGCCGGTATAGATCTCTTGACTTGTAATGATATCTGTAGCCGGTATAGATCTCTGACTTGTAATGATATCTGTAGCCGGTATAGATCTCTTGACTTGTAATGATATCTGTAGCCGGTATAGATCTCTTGACTTGTAATGATATCTGTAGCCGGTATAGATCTCTTGACTTGTAATGATATCTGTAGCCGGTATAGATCTCTTGACTTGTAATGATATCTGTAGCCGGTATAGATCTCTTGACTTGTAATGATATCTGTAGCCGGTATAGATCTCTTGACTTGTAATGATATCTGTAGTCGGTATAGATCTCTGACTTGTAATGAAATCTGTAGCCAGAACAGATCTCTTGACTTCTTATGATCTCTGAGTTTTGTTGAAATATGTATCCAGTATATAATATAATTGATGTTAACCGGTGAACTTGATGTTTGACAAGCTTTGTGGAACATTTTCATTCCACATTAGTGCTAACCAGGATCAGATGTGCTGAATGATGGTGACTAATTGATACTCTCTCTTTTCATATATTGTTTTAACTTTATGGTGATCTTGTGCTGACCTCACAGTGACCTTTGTTGACTTGTGATTACCTTGTATTGATATGATGTTGAACTGGTGTTGACCTCATGATGACCTCGTTTTGATTTTATTGTGATGTTGTGTTGACTACTTTGTGACCTTGTGTTGACTAACGGTGACCATATGTTGATATTTCATGTTGTGTTGACTTTGTGGTGACCTTTTGTTGACCTCATGACCTTTTGTTGATATTATGATGACCTTGTTTTCACTTCATGGTGACCTTTTTTTGACTTCATTGTGATCTCGTGTCGACCTCTTGATGACCTGGTGTTGATATTATGTTGACCTTGTGTTAACATTGTGATGTTGTGTTGACTTAATAGTAATAGAGCAGGAATGTCTATAGAATTAAAGATTCTCTTACTACGTGATAAAAAAGTGTGCTGAAGATTGGATGTTAGCTACGTGTGAAGACTTGTTATTAAGTCTACCTCTGTTACTGAAAGTTTGACATGATAATTATTTTATGATTACCAGATGGTTTTTTAAAAAGCTGAATTGTTATAGAGATTGAAATCACTTTTGTAATCTGTTTAACTTTTGTGATTCTGTTGATGATTTTTTTTGTAACAAAGATGTGATGCTTTGTGTTTGCATGATCCATGATTGATGATGTGCATGTCTTATTAATACTCATTATATAATTAAGGCAAGATTTAACCTGCTGAGTCTTTGATATGAAAGCAGATATTTGTAGACTAACCAATTCTATGCATGTAAACAATGTAACTTGCAGATTGTCAGAATGGGACTTTGACTTGTCCCATGTTGAGAAGACTTCCGAGTGTAGCTACATGATTACACCTTGTTACCAGACCATGTGTTACATTTCCACTGTTTATGTATTATATATGATAGAATTGGTCCTTAATACTTCATAGTGTTTGCCGTATCTGTGTGATTGTCCCTTTTTATATTTACTAGGCCTTGATCATACTTTGCATTAGGCTCATTAACTCTGACACAGTGTACTAGAATTCCACAAGTCTTTAAGCTTCATATAGATATGTATGTTTAGAAAAAACTACACCAATACATTAGAAGTAGGTCTCTCTGTGCCAACAAGTATTATAATGTGATAGTGTTGCATTGCTAAATATTGTGTTTTGCTTCCTAATCGGTAAGTGTGCCTTAGAATGTTATCTCCATTATAAAAAATGCCTTCTTTCATTTAAATGTTATTGTACAGAATAACTTGTTATCTCCCTTGTATGACAGTTTAACTTATCTCCCTTTATAACAGTTTAACTTGTTATCTCCCTTGTATAACAGTTGTTACTTGTTATTTTCCCTATTATAACATTTTAACTTATGTTTTTTGATATTGGGGGGTTTAGAACATAGTTAAATGATCAACTTTCTTGTACAACTAACTTCTACTCCATCAGAAGATGTTGGCGTTAAACACAATCAATTTTATATTGGCAACATTGTTTTCAGTCACCTTTTCATGAACATATGTATTTAACCTAAGCATGGATGTGATATTCTGTTATATTATTTCTGAGTGTTTATATTGAGTTCTCATTACTTATGCCTGGCCAGGTTAGTGAGTATCTACCTGTAAACTGTGGTGTTGTATCATCTTGTGTGTCCATCTGGAAAGATATATATGGAAACAGTTATGATCCCCACCCTGACCTTTCCTCTAGGAACTTCATTGGAGGGTGGGGTGGTGTTGTATGGAAACAGTTATGATCCCCACCCTGACCTTTCCTCTAGGAACTTCATTGGAGGGTGGTGTGGTGTTGTATGGAAACAGTTATGATCCCCACCCTGACCTTTCCTCTAGGAACTTCATTGGAGGGTGGGGTGGTGTTGTATGGAAACAGTTATGATCCCCACCCTGACCTTTCCTCTAGGAACTTCATTGGAGGGTGGTGTGGTGTTGTATGGAAACAGTTATGATCCCCACCATGACCTTTCCTCTAGGAACTTCATCAGACAGGCTATATATAGAAACAGTTATGATCCCCACCATGACCTTTCCTCTAGGAACTTCATCAGACAGGCTATATATAGAAACAGTTATGATCCCCACCCTGACCTTTCCTCTAGGAACTTCATCAGACAGGCTATATATAGAAACAGTTATGATCCCCACCCTGACCTTTCCTCTAGAAACTTCATCAGGCAAGCTATATATGGAAACAGTTATGATCCCCACCCTGACCTTTCCTCTAGGAACTTCATTGGAGGGTGGGGTGGGGTTGTATGGAAACAGTTATGATCCCCACCCTGACCTTTCCTCTAGGAACTTCATTGGAGGGTGGGGTTGGGTTGTATGGAAACAGTTATGATCCCCACCCTGACCTTTCCTCTAGGAACTTCATTGGAGGGTGGGGTTGTATGGAAATAGTTATGATCCCCACCCTGACCTTTCCTCAAGGAACTTCATTGGAGGGTGGGGTGGTGTTGTATGGAAACAGTTATGATCCCCACCCTGACCTTTCCTCTAGGAACTTCATTGGAGGGTGGGGTTGTATGGAAACAGTTATGATCCCCACCCTAACCTTTCCTCTAGGAACTTCATTGGAGGGTGGGGTGGGGTTGTATGGAAACAGTTATGATCCCCACCCTGACCTTTCTCCTTCTTTATCTGTTGCCCCCTGTGTGAAGCTGTATCCAATGTGTGGAAATAAAGGGAAAATTCTATATTATGAAAATATTTTGCCACAATTGTTTAATGTTGAAAGGAACAAAAAGATGCAGGCTCACTCACCCTTCCATTTTCATTGATATTTGTACTATAGGTTGCCAGTCCCTTTCTTACAGTACAGGATGTCCAATTTACTGGTGTTTACTTATTTGCTTCTAATTTATGTTGTTACATGAACTGATCACACAGTAGTAAGGTTGATCTCACAGTTTCTGAGCCTGTTGTATTTATTCTATAAATAGTGATTGTTTCAATAAGATTTTCCTTGTAACCACAGTGATCAAACAAAAACACTTCATTTTTTATTAATTTTGTGTACACCAATATAATCACTTCTCTGTTCACTTTATTTGTTCCTCAGTTTTTTCTCAGCACTTTATATGAATATGATCTTAAACGAATGCCCTCCTAACCCCCCCCCCCCCGCTTCATATTTTAAGATCCAAAAAACTTTGTAGTACAGTTACTGGGTGGGACATCTACTTTCTAAAAGCTACACTGGTGAAATAATTGAAAATTTCTGAAGAAAATCCTCCAAACTTGGTAATGGTTATGTAGTTTTTGGCCAAAGCATTTTAATTACTAGTTACCAGTGACTGTAGGATACTAACATTGTTTAACTGGAATGATAATTGGGTCAATAAAGAAATTAGTGAGAGGCATTGAAGCTGTCATTTGTGTAATAAATCAGAGACTCAAATGGGCTTTGAAGCAGAAATGGTCTTTCCCCAGGAGTAGTTCTGTGTAACATGATATTTCAAAAGTTTTTTCCACCCATAAAATATGCATAAGACGTGTTGCATATCATAGTTCTAGACTGCATGTTTAATTATCTGATGAAACATTTAGTTAATCAAGAATTCAATTTCATGCAAAACATTTCCCTGGCTACTAAAGTTTTTTTGAGCCTTGTGTTGCTTGTTTTCCATTACCTGCAGTAGTTCTAAATGAGATGTGGTTTTCAGAAGATGTTATTAATACATGTATACCCAATTTAAAACATGTTAAGTTTTTGCGTAGCAATCAAACTTGTTGTAATAGTTTTTAGTTTTCACATTGTGTTAAACTGAAATCTAAAATAAAATATGTATGCAAAAGTTAATGAAAATTGTCTGGTGTTTGATCTGGTCTCAGTTGCTGATTTTTTTATTTGATGTTTCTGATTACACAAAATACAAACAGAAGCTTTGGTAATCTTGTGTTCATCCGTTGTAAAGTAAATCCATGTTACCAGTTTTACAAATATGTAATATAGATCCTCAGCATGTGGCTGTCAACTGAAGCAGAACAGGTATGACATCATACGTCCCCAACCATTAAATAGCAGAGGCATAAAACAAATTCAAGTTCGCAAGTAAGGAACTTCACAGATTTTGATGAAAATCACACCATTGTTTCTTTCATTTATGTGATCTCTTGTCTCTTCAGAGAAAAGCATTGTTTTCAACAAGCTCCATGACAGGCATGTCATGGACTGTTTGCAATACTTACATACATATACAAGCAGGTCAAGGTTACCTATAGATGTCAAATATGTCAATTCAAGGGAATAACTTCAAGTAAAAACTCCACTTTTCAAAACGGTCAAGGTCATTTAGCTGACAAGTGAATAACACTAAGATAAAGCATGGTAAATAGATTTTACTATGGTATAAAACCTACAATAATATACAGTCAGATCAATTGGCAATATACATATTCTGTGCACAGTGCTCCTTCAACAATACTTCTCTTGAATAAAATAAAGTCTCTTTCTTGTGGTAGTGCTTTTCTAGTGCATAATACTCAAATGTATACTCTCTCCAGGTGGTCCACACAAAGTCTTATCCATCAATCCATTTTTTTTATCTAAAAATATCTATGAAATATCACACAAAAACCATATAACAATGTCCCTTAAAAGGTTTATCCCTGTTAATATTACAAAAGAATACCATATGATATATATCACAATGAATTATGACTAAAAGACATTAAAAGATATAATATTTAACGAGCTGGACGGACAATTGATGTCTCTGCACTTTCTACTTCAACATGTAAAATCAACTCAACATTGAAAAAATAAATATATCTACAATATTACAATTTACAAGTATGGAATATATGATCATAGCTTTAAAAATTTCATCACCAGTATCACAGCAGAAATGTAAAGTTGATATAGACAAATAATCATGATTTCACAGCCTGAAAGAAAAACACCCAAATCCTAAAACAAAAACTTCTTGAATGATTATCAATGATGGAAACGAACGATTCGCAGGAAAATTTTTTTCCATAGACACAAATTTCAACATGAATTTGGCCTCATGTAGACTTTCACTGCCCTGTCGACAATTTGAAAGTTGACAAGGATTTTTATAGTTTGTGGAGAGATGACTGTCAAACAACGTTAAAACAAACGTTTCCAGGCACGTCAGACAAAATGTGGAAGGAAAGTGTTAGAGAGGTGTGTAAAAAAGACAGAATTAAAATCACTACAACATTTGTAAATAATCGTCTTGGAAAAAAAAATACAAGTTAAACATTCACCATTAACAATATGTTTTGAAACCATTGTGTCCTAAGCACTGATAATGACGCCTCACAACATGAAAGGTTGGGATGGTTGAATGAAGGAATGCTTGGTGTTGACCAGTTACGGCCGCCCTGACTCTCTGACATCACTGAGGGTGTTAACATGATCAACAAACTTACATGTCGTCCGTGAATTACCACCGTTTAATATACCGGGTCTGAAAAAAGAGTCAAAACATTTGAAAAAAATGAGTCTCCTGCATCCTTAACATCATGTGTAAACCTGATTTATAAGCCTCAATGTTTCTGTTCAAACACATTTAAATCATAACTTGATTAAGGATGGAGCATCATAGGTTGAAACATGACATACACCTTTATATAATAGCACTTTTTGCATGTGGAAATAAATTTTTCAAACTGACGCTTGTACACACATCTTCATTCAACGTGACATTAAAATATGCAGTTCCATGAATGCCTCCACACAAATTCTCCAACATATTTCTGATATCCTGATAAAGACCTAACATATATACCGAGGGAAAATCTACTGGACAGCATACAGAAATATGACAATAAAGGAAAAATAATGATTGTGCCTTCCAAAAACAAACAATAACATAAAAATTTTATCACAGTCGCTTGGACAGTATTGCCCATATCGGGTCAAGAAACAGAGGATCAATTTAAAGAGATTAAGCACACAGAAATGCACACAGGTGATGAAATGAAAATTGGTGTGAACTGTAAGATCACAACTGTAGCGCCAGGATCCTCAGCTTTCTCCAGGAGAGTCACTGGGACGTTAGATCTGACTTGACAGCACAGGTGTCACAACTACATATATGTGTGACATAGAACTCCAGAGAGAAAAAAAAGAAGTATTTAAGCTTACTGGTAGAGAGCCAGTGAACTTTATTAATAACTAAGATCAATAACACACAATAAATACTGAATTCTATAAAGTTAAATACTAAAACACACTCAACATAATGTGTAGAGGTCATTTAATACAAAATTTCACACTAATAAATCTTCATCTTGAGTGAGTAAACCACCCCAAATTCAATTACCACATTTGTATTCTATTCACTGGGAAGCAAATAAAAACAACATTTTACACTATTTCTCCATTTATAAACTATAGGCATGAACAATTTTTCTTGCACAAAATGACCTTTCCACTCAAACCCAATAATACAAATATGTTACAAATATTAATAGTGTACTACCACCCATTAACGGTTAGGGTACAATACAAATTTCCTGTACAAGGTAGGATACATGCTCACACATATACGATATATACATTAAGGTCACCATGCCCAACACACTACAGCATAAGTTATATAAAATCTAGGACAAAAATATATTTTCTGGTTGGCATCCACCACCAAGTTACGTTCAATGGACGAGGTTAGCTGGTAAGGATCGCCAGCAGGTGCGACCAAAGCGATTTAGAGACAGACAGTCTATAGATGATGGTATACAGTAGAATATTGATGTAGAGCCTGCTGCTACAGACAAGACTGGCTGAGAGATGGCTGTCGTTACCACAGACCTGAGCTGTAGGTGCTTCGGCGTGGGCTGGGGGAGCGACTACGACGGGAGGGGCTCAGAGATCGAGATCGGGAGCGAGGGCGTGGGCTCGGACTGATGGAACGGGAACGAGTAGGGCTTCTACTCCTCCTGGACTGTCTCTGTAATAAAGCAGACCCACACCATCAATGTGTAGGGGAGGTGACGAAACAGTGTCAAATGAATATAATTGGGCTATAATGGTTAACTGTATCATCTAAAAAAAGGTAGAGTGAACTGAAGAATAATGGAAACATGCTTTCTAAACTTTCAGCAACATAATTGGATGAAAATGAAAATCACAATAAGTCGAAAATGAAAATCGCAATATCTATATATAGATCAAACCAAAATAAATGTAAATTTTTCCATAAAACTATCACCATAATAAACCATGCACATACATCTACTACTTAGAGACAAGTCATCCACGACAAGTCCAGACAAACAGGAGTGCATTCATTTAAGAAAATACTTTGGAAAAATTCAAACCTCTGTTTTTGAATCCTGATAAATATCAAGGGTTCTAAACTTCTGAAGTTTGACCTTTCAACCTTTAACCTTAACAAATGTCTTCCCAAGGTCATTTCTAGAATTTGTTTGCCCTGTGAACTGCCTGGGTAATTTTGATGTGGGGTTTCCTGGATGTAGCTGGTGGTTATCTCACAGAACAACATAAGGAAGACGCTTTGCTATCCAAAGCAATTATGGTAGACTGTCCCTCCAAAGGATGCTATCCATGTCAGCACAGATCAGTCCATTTCTCAACATCATGAGAAACACAAACTGCCATGGGTAGGGAGTGTCGACCCACACTCCTCAGATTTTCACCTGTAGTTATGACAACTAATGCTCTACCAACTGAGCTATAATGGCCCCATTTGTGTCTAGAACTTTGATGTAACCTCACTTGGGTATAAACATAAACTAAATTGGTTGAGGAGTTTGTGACATATGACAAGTGTTTGAGAGTAACACATATGAATACATGTATTTTGATTTAAGTTTGAAATGTTACAAAACATTCTTTGACTGAAAACAAAACACAGCCCAGTAAAATGTAAAAAAGGGAGATAACTTACCAATGAGGCCCCACGAAGAGTCACAGCTTCACCCTTCATGATGATCCTGACTCCATGCATGAGACAAGGCCAAATGTGATGGTTGACAAGGGGTGCAGTGAACTCAGAGTCATAACTCCTTCTGTACCTGTGTAACACACAACATTACATGATACATTCAGTAGTATTATTGGGTGTTAAAAATATATTAAAAAAGTGCATAGCATTGGTAGTTAATCCCTTATATCAGTATATCTTATGTATATTAATGACCTGAATGACAGGTTGGATAAAATGTAACATGAAGAAATAACTGATATATCTTTCAATTGTTAAAGAATCAAATCTACAGGATAAAAAATTGCAATCAAACTTCTGTGGAATGAAAAATCTTACTTAGTGTCATCAAACAACTCAGCATCTGTAGCCACTGAAATGTCCATTGGGTGAGCTAGGGCATTCATCTGCCAGGCAAGCTTGCAGACTTCACGGATGAATGGTTGAATGATGGCGAAGGTACAGTCAGGGGGCAGGAAGATCTTGGGGTTACGGTTCAGTCCTCTGATCACATCCTGTGAAAGGGCAAACTGATTTACAGGATGCAAAATAAATTATTTGTCTTTTGTTGGGAGATTCCATTAGTAAGAAGCCAGCTAGCAAAGCCACAGCAATCAGCAGCATACATAACACAGCAGTCACATCAAAGGACAGCAGCAAGTTACAAAGTTTAACACTGTCTACAACCATCAACTCATACAACATATAAGACTCTCTACCACTGTCCACCTATACAAAGTCTACCATTGTCTACCTATACAAAGTCTACCACTATCTACCTACACAAAATCTACCACTGTCTAACTACATAAAGTCTACCATTGTCTACCTACACAAAATCTACCACTGTCTACCTACATAAAGTCTACCACTATCTACCTACACAAAGTCTACCACTGTCTACCTACACAAAGTCTACCACTGTCTACCTACACAAAATCTACCACTGTCTACCTACACAAAGTCTACCATTGTCTACCTACACAAAGTCTACCACTGTCTACCTATACAAAGTCTACCACTGTCTACCTACACAAAGTCTACCACTGTCTACCTACACAAAGTCTACCACTGTCTACCTACACAAAGTCTACCATTGTCTACCTACACAAAGTCTATCACTGTCTACCTACACAAAGTCTACCACTGTCTACCTACACAAAGTCTACCACTGTCTACCTACACAAAGTCTACCATTGTCTACCCATACAAAGTCTACCACTGTCTACCTACACAAGTCTATCACTGTCTACCTACACAAAGTCTACCACTGTCTACCTACACAAAGTCTACCACTGTCAATCTATACTAAGTATAACATTGTTTACTGCTGTCAACTATACAAAGAATACGAATGTCATCACACATTGATAATTAGTGGTGCCAATTACAGCATAGCCGAATACAGCCAGCTTATACAATATGCAGCACTTCTTTCTTTGAGAAAGTAAACAACTGTTAATATAGAATGAAGAACAACTCATAACTTTCATCAGGAACATCAATATTTGTGAAGAACTTATTATAAATTGTAAAGAAAATTAAAAATGTTTGAACTAATGTAAAATGTAACAGCAAAAGCACTGCCACTGCAAAACATGTCAATACATTAGTATATAAAGTCTTTTAACTGAGACAAAGAAACTGGTACATGTATAGCTGTAAAAACATCATCAAACCCTACACACCAAAAACACATGATAAAGCTTAACAAAAGTCTATGTTATCAATGTCAAGTTGCCTTCTTTAGCTATAATAAAATTAACATCATGACCGGTGTGCTGCTGTGGATTTTTTTGGTTTGGTGATGTTACAAGTGCTATGTACTCACCGCCACCATTCCTGGCAGATCGTACAGGTCTGTATTCCTGTTGATGTAGTCCTGGACTGCCTCTTCCAGGGTCTCTGGGCCGATGTGAGTGGCTGACAGGTTAGCACGTACCTTCATCTTGAATTGACGGAATGCGATTTTGGCCACGCTGTATGCTTCCTACAACAGGAAAGGTAAATAGATTGAAATTTTAATGGAAGATCCAAGTTTTGTCCATGAAATAGTGATAATCTTTCATTATCAAAATTCAAGCTGGCTGCATGTCTGTCTGCCATTGGAACAATGCACAACTAGGAAGCAGGGGGTCCCTACATGTGAAATTTGAGAATGATCCATTAAGTACTTCTCCAGAAATGGCAGTAACAAGAATTATTTCAGGATATATGGATTGACCGAGGATGCTGAATGATTTAAATAACTCACCCTCTGATGATGGTGGGCTAAAAACTATTTTTTCTTTAGGTCTGGCAGATACATCACTGATCAGGTATGTTATGTGGTAATTGTGTTTATCAAAACAAGGCTCTACAAACCTGTACAGCAATGAAGATGATGCGTTGGTTATTTTCATTGTCATCAGAATACCGGCGCAGTGTATCTAACGCATCAAGTCGGGCTCCAGCAAACAGGTCATTCCAGTGCGAGACCAGGTTGTGCTGGCGCACTTTCTGGACAGGGTCTTTGAAGGACAATGGAGAGCCAGTACGGAGTGGGTAACTGTAGCGTGACAGGGATCCAATCAAGTCACTGCAGGATGAACATTGAGAAAACCATTTAATGGAAGCACATTTTTCCTAGTTATATGTTTTTATCCAATTTATTCCATTAATGGATTGCTCGTATCTAGCTTCACGTGATCTGAATGCTTTCAATTTCAGGAATATTTTTCAAGAGATGAATGTAGCTATTCATTCAAGCACGGAATTCACATTTAACTTTTATACACAACTACCAGATACTACAAAAAGGAAAAAAAAGGAAGAAAAGAAATATAGAATATTGAACTGATTTTGTATAAGACTATGAAAAATCTTTTGACAAATACCACATATAAAATAAGTGTCAAATACTGTGATATCATGCAATAACATTAAAATGCAAAATGAAGTAAGCTTACCTCTGTCAATATATTGTTATCTCATAATTGTATATATATATACACAAAGTGTTATGATGGTGGTTAGTACGTGCGGGAAGTTTGGGGTTAGATAATCACAAAGGACAGTATTCTTTATCTATAAGTCCCAGGGCTTAATCAATGTTACAACACTGATTCACAAAAAGCATTACTACACAGAACCTCTTGTTATTCTCAACATCATGTAGCAAACTACAGACAAAAACAAAGGAAAGAAACTTAGAATAGTTGATGTTTGGGGTCTCTAACTAGAAGATGGAATTTCAAAGCTTTTGAAAATGTCTTACCTGGGTCGTTTAGAGCTTTTCATAAAATCAGAAATGAATATGAGTAAGTTTTTTACATGTTAGGTACATGTCATCTGTGCTGACGATGTTGGTAATAAGACAATGTAAACAGTTAATCAGAGGGGAACATGGTGCTTTTATACAACAGGCATTTATGGGATTTAGCTTTATTGACTTCATTTTCTTATCCAAACAAATGTTTCATTCTGACCAACACAAGTATACCACCATGCTGAGCAAGCTTGCATTCCGACACCTCTCACTTCCCCCTTTGTTTCTGATTTAGATATGTTTACAATAATTCTGATGAAGTGTCAGTGAGAAAATCTGTCACTGAAATAATTATTTTTAGATACTTAACCTTGACAAGCAATGTGAAAATGAGGCTACTGGAGGGAAACAAAACTGACTGGCCTGTCTCTTGGTATTCTAATGATTTACTTATCCACAATTTTGTTGTGTACATACATAAAATATCTCATTTCCATAAAATGTGACTTTTTCAGCAATGGAACCTTATCAATAAATTAAGTTTCAAAAAAATTTGAAATGTTAAGTGGAATTCCTTAAATAGTTATAATATAGGGACTTGATCATGATCACATTCATGACCACCCAAAGCATTGGTATATGTTTGGTCAGTATTTAAATTCCCATTTGTTTGGATAAGTTGAAGCTACTCTTTAATATACATGTGTTAGCAGTTCCTTTTTTACCTGTTTGTTTTGTGGGTTTTTTGTTTGATTTTTCTTTTTTTGTTTTTTAAAAAAAATATTATAAAGGAAACATATGTTAAAAGCATTTTCTGAATATGGTGCTGTAGAGGTTCTTACAGTGATGTAAGGGATATCATCAACTGGTGATTAAAAAGTGCCTCTGAAATATACCAAAAAGCATCTAATGAAAGGAAAGATTGTGTATGTTCAGTTTGAAACGGTCATTGTAGGCTTTCCATCACCATCAAACATATGGCTTACCTATCAAGATAGCTCTTTTTGGAACTGACAATAGAGAGCTCGTCCCTAAGATTCCTTAACTCCCGCTGATAATCATCAACAAGACCAGACCTAGCTCGTAACTTGACAATTTCATCTTGAGAGTCAGCCAGCCTAAAGAAAACAAGGATGGACATTGTCCAAGGTTACACAAAGTCAGAAATGGGAGTGAATACACAGCTCTGTGTTCATCTTACCCATTCTTGTGTCACCACAAGCAAATGTTTCCAATCTACTGATAAAAAAGCACATTAAAATGCCATGCATTAGTTCACTGCTTATCCATAAGGCCAGAAAGCAAAACAGCCAACTGAAAAATTTGTATCAAAGAACATGTCAAATGTGAAATTTTAAAAGCTTATCAATAAGGAAATGACCACTTGTTGAGTGTAAGGTATCTTTATCATTATAGAATTGTATCATAAATTTATTTCATTTTTCAAAATAAAACATTTTTAGTTTGGTTTAATATAGATTAAAATGCAACATGAAACCACCATAAAACCAAATCAATTCTTTAGTCTGTTAAATCTGACACTAAGTTTTAGTAGGTCTTTCTTTACCAGCCATTTAATCTCGGTACGATATCATCACTTTTTTCTCTACAATAAAAAAATCAAGGGAGATGACTTACAATTTTGTTCCTCAGTTATCTTTATTTAGTTTTTTTTTTTTTTTATTTGGCTAAAATTTTTTACTGAAAGAAATTGCCAAGCTAAAGTACTACATAGAAAACTACATGAAACTTGGTTTTAATCTAACTTGGTTCTATGCCATATTATCTTAATCATAAAATTATAATAATAAATAATAAAAGTATAGAATCAAAGGTACTAATTATCAGGTTCTTTTTCAAAAAAAACCATTTTAACAGCAAAAGAACTTCTTTCAAAGCTTCAACATCCAAAGAGTTCACCAATGAAATAAATACACACAATATTACAAAAACCAGCACCTCAAAAAAGACAAAATCTCCGTTTATAAAAAGTAACATCTACAAAGATGCAAAACACACTTTTTAATGCATTAGAATTTAAAAAAGAAAACAAAACAGACATGATCAAGCTGGTCATAACACACAATTTTTTTTTAATCCATGCTAACATTTGCCTATAGTTCAACAAGAATGGGTATAGGTGTACAATAACACAGAGAACAAGTTAGGCACAGAAAGCTCCCTTCTCCCAGGCAAATCCGTGGACAAACGACACTGTAAAATAAATATGATGGGCGGACTTGGGTTAGCTATATGATGGGTGTAAGTATGATGAATGCGGGATAAGTATGATGTAGATGATGAGTATGGAAGCTAGGATGAGTGTGTTGCTTCTTGAGTAGGATAAGACAGACACAGTTACACACAATGGACTAGCAGTTTTAACAGAAGTGGTTAAAGTCCTTGAATTTTTTTGCTGTCACAACCTACCAGATCAATGAATAACTACATGAATTTAAGTCGAAATAAATTGTATTCAAATACCAAAAGGTTTGTTTTCTATAAAATGCAAGAACTTTAACCACATGTAAGTGCAATCTAGATCACACAGAAGCTTGCTACAAAAGCTCTTGTTCATGTAAAATACAGCTGGTGCTACTACCAGTCTTACCCAGACTTATCTTTATAAGAATCGGTCTTTTTAGGCAGGTCATCTTTTAATTGTGAATGTGATGACAAGTAAGTGTCATCCTTTAGGGGCAATGACATGGAGGAAGAAGAGCGGTACAAAGAATCTCTCCTAGATGTAAGCAATGCGATATCGTCACGCAAGCGGCGCACTTGGGTTTCGTAATCAGTTAGCAATCCTGCTTTGGATCTTAATGTGCGCACTTCATCCTCAGCTAGTGCAAGTCTAAAACAAACATGAAAACACACAATGATGGTTTGTATGGTAGCCATGATATCTAACGAAGAGACTCGTCTTCAACCAATCAGATTTTCTACAAATGCATTGGCAGCAAACCTATCTACAATAATTCTGATATAATCAATTTCACTCCTAAAAATAGTTCATATCCATTGAAACCATGAAACATGCATCACACTCACCTTATCAAGAATACTTATATTAGATCTTGATTTTTTTCCCTTTTTTTAAATCAACCTGTGCATTAATAGATATTTTGATAATGTTATGCATTGAAATTGAATTGAGATCTAGATATGCATATTCGTCTTTGTGATGTTTTTATTAATGATGTTGCTCTCTATATATATTCGGGTTGTGTATTAATAGTAGGTAATCACTACACGATTGGTACAATTAACATCAATAATACTACACGTATCATCTGTTCTGAGTATAATAGGTGTACCTGTATAAAAACAGACCAACAATAGGTTACAATAATGACTTTTAGCCAAGTATGACAAACAGGTTTGCCAGAATAATTGTTTCATACGTGTGCCCTAGCCACCATGAAATCTGATTAGGTTTGCATATTTTTTCCGTCGGTAGTAGTTTTAAGAGCACGCTGAACTACCGAAGCTATTCAATAAAATATTTATATGGCATAAGATATTGTTAACAATGGTGTAGTATTGGCATTGTGACAAAAGCCTACTGTAGTAAACTGGTGATTATCATGGATTACCATGCTTGAGTACACACTACCATGTTCCTGCCAGCTTAGTGTGTACTAATTATCTATCAGTAGTGCCTGCTCTATAAGACAAAGCATTGTGGCCAATGTGATGAGACTCCAGTACCCTAACATCTTGGTGACTGGATCATGTCAAAGCTAACACTGGACACCTGTACCATAACTCAGTCTGTAAAACAGAGGGTTATCTTGCATGCTGAAACTTGTTAAAAACAGCTCTGACATGACCTTGTCACAAAAATGTCTGATTGATTACACATTTAATAGAGAGCAATTCAAAAGGAATTCAGTTAAAAAAATTTCAAAAGTAAAATAAAAATTTATACTGCATTTTCTGGATTTCTTTGAAAATGTTGTAAATATCCATCTATTTTTACTCTAAAGTGAGAGTTATATGCTCATCACAGGTGCCAGATGGTGACAGGTTATAGTGTATAATGATATGTAGGATGTGCAATGTAGTACGTGCTGGACATGTGAGGTTGATCATAGACACAAACATCTATACAAGCATAAAATCAAAGTCACCTTATTACAAACACAATCCTCCATCTCAATAATCACATCTTCTATTACTGAATGTTATATCAAGTAACAAATAGGATGTAATGACGGAGCAATAATTAAATAATTATAATGCTGAAAATTAACAAATACTGTATTTGGCAGGAATATTATTCATACATTCAAGAGCTAAATATCAATATTTTCTGACAAATAAAAAGAAATAATGTATTTTTACTGGTGTCTAATTTATCCCTGATAAAACAATAACAAAAATATGTCAATTACACAAACAACTCAATCTAAAATCAATTTTAGCACGTACAAAGCCACATGCATTAAAGCTACTGATGATCGTGCAGCAATGCAATCCTGTTTAAACAACATTGAAGAAGCAGATGGTTAAAGTCCCTCCAATTCAGACTACCCACCACATAGATCAGTCACAGAAACACAGGCCAGATCAAATTACATCAGTCACAGAAACATAGGCCAGGTCAAATTACATCAGTCACAGAAACATAGGCCAGGTCAAATTACATCAGTCACACAAACATAGGCTAGGTCAAATTACATCAGTCACACAAACAGAGGCCAGGTCAAATTACATCAGTCACAGAAACACAGGCCAGGTCAAATTACATCAGTCACACAAACAGAAGCCAGGTCAAATTACATCAGCCACAGAAACATAGGCCAGGTCAAATTACATCAGTAACAGAAACACAGGCCAGATCAAATTACATCAGTCACAGAAACATAGGCCAGGTCAAATAACATCAGTCACACAAACAGAGGCCAGGTCAAATTACATCAGTAACAGAAACACAGGCCAGGTCAAATTACATCAGTCACAGAAACACAGGCCTGGTCAAATTACATCAGTCACACAAACAGAAGCCAGGTCAAATTACATCAGTCACACAAACAGAAGCCAGGTCAAATTACATCAGTCACACAAACAGAAGCCAGGTCAAATTACATCAGTAACAGAAACACAGGCAAGATCAAAGTACAACAGTAACAGAAACATAGGCCAGGTCAAATAACATCAGTCACACAAACAGAGGCCAGGTCAAATTACATTGGTCACAGAAAAAATGAAAGGCCTTTCTAATCTTGTCAAATTAAATAATTTTTTGATGCATTGTGGGTATTTTGGTCTAAAACAAAGACATCTTCAATCAGATGAAGAACAACTAGAGATGAGGATTTATATTGGGAGCTCTTCAATCTGGAATCTGATTACTGATAACAATTCACTCTGTCACCAGTGTAGTAGATTAACTGAACTACACCAGTATATGTAAAGAGGTACACATAATTATTGAACCTGGTTTTTATTGTCAGGACTATTCACCTGTAAGAATGTTTCTGTATAAACAAGTACAAAAATGATACTTTCTTCTGTACACAGGTATCTACTCTACTATAAGAATTAAATTATTATGGAATACCAAACCAGTACTAGGCTCTGGACAAATGTATGTCTACACCTGCCACCATCACTATAAACATCCTGAAAGACTGGGATCACCACTACATGCAGGGTAAGGTTAAAATAAACCCTTGGAGGTACAGGTAAGGAATCTTGTACAGGACTGAGAAGGGACTGATAGTCAGAACTGAGTAGGGGCCAACAGTCAAAAGGAGAGTATTTTGATCAGCACAATACCCATGATTTGGTGCAGTGAGCATATACAGAGTGCCAGACTAGAGGTGCGAGACAGGGTGCACTTTTGGTCTTGACTGGGTATTGCATGTCAAAAGCTCAATAGACCCTTGTGTTGAATTAAGAAAACAAAATCCAAATTTACAGATTTTCATGTGGAGGCTACAAATCCATAAATAACTGCTAATTACTCAACGATCAGTGATATAAATGGAACATATTTTTGTGGATAAATTACCAAAATACTGATGTGTTATTATCATCAAGACTATGAGAACGTCTAACAAAACATGCTATACAAGAAATAATATATGCTATAAATCTATTTCAAAATTACATAATACAAATAAGATAACCTAAGTAAATATACCACTAAAATGTCCTAATAAGGCAAACGCAATCTCTTGGATATGTCAAGCATCAACTTTGATGATGTAAATTCAACACAGCATTTTCCTGGTTAATTGAAGAATAAGGTATGCATGAATGGGTTAGAAACACCTAGGAGCTATGAAGAAGCCAGAAACTGTTGTCACCACAAGTATGGTTGTCATGACAACAATTTATATATTTTTATCTTACTTCCGCCTAAGCTCTCTAGTTTCGACCTCGGTTAACATTTTATCACTTGTTGATGTACGCAGAGTTCGGTTGAGCTCCTCTTTAGCTTCAAGTAACCTGTGGAAAGGAGGAGAAAACAAGATTTTTAATCAAACAGGACAGTAATAAATATAATTAGGTGCTTACTTTCTCCTCAACTCCTGTACTTCAGTCTCCAGGAACATCTTGTCACTTTGTGAAGAACGCATGCTGCGATTAAGTTCATTCTTTGCGTCCAAAAGCCTGAAAAATCAGCATAATTAGGTGCAGAAGAGATTCCTATAAAACCAGCTAGTAAAGAGTCCATGCTTATTCCCACATGATGTTTCCTTCATTCTGTCAACATTAGCTCTAGCTGTCATCAGATGTGTACCCTATAAGCTGATAAATACACTGCGAGTTTTACATACATTTTCAGAAACAAATGTCAATAACCCACAATAATCTTTACTTGTCCATCTTGCTCTCAAAGAAACCCTTTCCCTTAGAAACTGACTTTTAGGTCATCATTCTTTTTTAACATCACCAGGTGTATATAAACCTTACATCTTTTCCTCCCTGTGTCCCTCTCTTTCTCCTTCTATCAAGATAATTATAGAGGTACAGAAGCTCTACTTGTCTGGAAATAGCACTTACTCATCTCTGACATCCTGTAGCTCTGCCTTCTTGTCATCTAGGTCGCCCTCTAAATCCTGCAGAGACTTCTCATACATATCCTGGAGTTCATCTAGTTCACGGTTTTTGCCAGCAGCTTCAGCAAGAACAGACAAACTGGCATCAGCCGTCACAGCTCCTCCAGAAGTAAAGAAGTTACTGCCAAGGAAGGGAAGGAGGCGGGACTTAATGATGGCGGACCCTCCATACAAACCACCTATAACAGAGATAAACAATTGGTTGTAATCATTTATGTCAGGAAGATTAAAACAAATATTCATTTTCATACCGTATTATACTCATGGTGTAAGATAACTATCTCTTTTTTAATCTCAAATATAACTAACCGAGGGCTACTACAGTACAAAAATTATGGCTTTCCTAGAGAATTAACATATGCTCACTAAGGGACAAGAAATAATAATACAAAACATAGTACACAAATAGCGTAGAGATTTCTTTGTTTTTCAATTAAATCCCTTATCACAATAAGAATTGCATTTCAAGCATACATTAAGCTAAAATATTCACATACAAGCTGCAATAACATTCAAAGGGCCAAAAAAAACATTACTTTAGCTTGACATGAAATGTTGATGTCTCTGCCATTATTACTGTGTGGTGACGTGACTCAGTCTGGTTTGAGACGGTCAAACATGTCAACATGATGGGGCAAATGTAACTTCTATACTAAGATATTTACCATTAAACTGGTATAAAGTTGCATTGTTAAAAATTAAAAATAAACATTCAGACAATAAGTGTTCATCTAGTGAGTAGCGATGTAAATAGACTATTTATTACATTTTTAAAAATTTAATTATATTTTATCATCAATGTAAAATTGATTCATGCTATTTAATTAAATAAAAATTTTCTAATATGTTCATATCTGAATCTATATAATACCACTACAAATAATCCACTAACTTAATGATAGTATGGTCAGTCAGACCAGCTTCACTCAGTCTTGTTTGGACTGATCTAGAACTCAAACAATAACTCAATGATTTGGAAATGTTCACACCCTATACACATAATGTACACAGTTAACATCAAAATGTAAATTCAATTGCCTTATTTTATTTACTAGGTTCCAAAACGGTGAGTTTGGTGACCTTAAGCATGAATTAGTTATCACCACCAGTAGATTCCGTTTGAGAATGGATTGTTCTGTAACAATGTATAGTCATTGTTGTCATTGTCTCTGTGAGCTGGTACAACACATTACAAGCTGTATTCTACATTTGTATGGGAGATATTTCAATTATTTTGTGTTTCAAACAGCAGTAGGTAGTAAACAAAAATCTAAGGCTCATACTTCCTTGTTTATCAACACAACTTTTGTCTCAAAATCTTATTTAAAAGACTATTCAACAAATTATCACTACAACCTTATAAACGACACAGACATCTTTTTTAACTCTATTAAGCATGTACTTCAACCTCAACCATGACTACTGGAAATACTATGGTTCTCTCTCGGTGGGCACATGAACTATGGCTATTTCTAATTCCATAGTTCTTTCTCAGTGGGTAAATCAACCATGACTACTGGAAATTCCATAGTTCTCTTTTAGTGGGAACATGGTTCTTTTTCAGTGGGTTCATCAACCATAACTATTGGAAGTTCCATGGTTCTATTCCAGTAGGTACATCAACCATGACTATTAGAATTTCCATAATTCTCTCTCAGTGGATACATCAACTGTGACTATTGGAAAGTTCATAGTTCCTTTTCAGTGGGTAAATCAATCATGACTGTTAGAAATTCCATGGTTCTCTCTAAGTGAGAACATCAACCATGACTGTTGGAGAATTTGTAGTTCTTTTTAAGTGGGTAAATCAACCATGACTATTGGAAATTCCATAATTCTCTCTCAGTGGATACATCAATCATGACTATTGGAAATTCTGTAGTTCTCTCTCAGTAGGTACATTAAACTATGACTGTTGGAAATTCTATGGTTTCCTCTCAAGGGGTATATCAACGGTGATTATTGGAAATTCCATTAGTGGGGACAACAACCGTGAATTTTGGAAATTCTATGGTCCTGTCTTAGGAAAAGCATCAAGCTTTTTAGTGAGAATAAGTACTGGAATTTTGTTTTCATTTAAGCATGTTATATCTAAAACATCCTTTTCACTAAATTTCTGTAGAAAGATAAACCTTTCTTCATCAGTCATGCATATTCCTCTTTGGCACAATATGACTTTGGTTTTGGATCCAAAAAGGATAAACTTGAATCAAGATATCCCAGGCAATTGATCATTACTAGAATCTCATTTTACAGGTCAAAAACACTAACATTTTCATTACTAATGAATGAAAAAGTCACCAGATTTTCACCTATATGAGGAAAAAGGCTTGCTAGTGAGGGGAAACAGTCTTTTCTAAATGTAAAATGAGACGAAATAATGATTAATATTAACAAGATACTGCAGAGTATAAAGCAGCTTACATTGGATCGCGTGTAGATATAAGGTACACCAAGGAAGTATAGTATCCCAATCACCCAATCACCCAAATATCCAAAAATTCACTTTTATACTCATGTATATTGTTTTCAAAACTGTCTGATGTACATCCATTTTGACTATGACATATGATGTCATTAAATTAAGGCAATGACACATGGCAGCATTCAATTATGGCTAGAACACCTGACATCACTCTATTATGGCTAGAACACCTGACATCACTCTATCATGGCTAGAGCACCTGACATCATTCTATTATGGCTAGACCACCTGACATCACTCTATTATGGCTAGACCACCTGACATCACTCTATTATGGCTAGAACACCTGACATCACTCTATTATGGCTAGAACACCTGACATCACTCTATTATGGCTAGAACACCTGACATCACTCTATTATGGCTAGAGCACCTGACATCATTCTATTATGGCTAGAACACCTGACATCACTCTATTATTTGCATTGTGATGTTATGTTTAGATAATGTTCACATATATTACTTAATTTAGTTCTGACATGACTGCCAATTCTAGCTTTATATCAGTGAGAAATGAAGACAACAGATTGATAACACTACTAATGACACACCAGCCCCAATCTGACATCAGAAATAGGAAGCCATGTCAAAGAGAAATAAAAACATTACCAGCTTCTGCTGTAACACTTAGAAGTTTGAAGAGCTGCCCCTGCACTTTGGCGTTGAGTTCGATGATTTCACAACAGCGTGCCACATTCTGGTCACATGTGTTGATCTGTGAATACAAATCCAAAAACGAGATTATTAAATCTTACATATAGGCTGATTGACATAAATCAATGTAAGCTATTGAACTTCTTAATCCTAAATAAACAGTTTGATATGTGATCAAAGTGATTTATTGAAAATATGGTTGCACAAGATAAAACACCTTTTTCTCTCCATGCACCTGCAAAAATTATGTTTACCGAAATCAATTTTTACATAAAAGAACCGTCCTTTCAAGATAGCACTGCTTGAAGTTAGCAAAAATTTACACTTAGTTGGACTGTTTGAGATGCTAGGGCCAAGGGTCTTAGTTCAGGTATTGGCTACGGAGGTAGTAACGGTCATTTTTTTTCTCTCTGCTTTTTAATCAATAAACTACTATACATAATAAGAGATCCCAGAGGGGTCTTGGCACCCAACATTGTTTGGTCTTTATAAGAGATCCCAGAGGGGTCTTGGCACCCAACATTGTTTGGTCTTTATAAGAGATCCCAGAGGGGTCTTGGCACCCAACATTGTTTGGTCTTTATAAGAGATCCCAGAGGGGTCTTGGTGTCCAACATTGTTTGGTCTTTATAAGAGATCCCAGAGGGGTCTTGGCACTTGGTGTCCAACATTGTTTGGTCTTTATAGAGAGATGGCACCCAACATTGTTTGGTCCAGAGGGGTCTTGGTGTCCAACATTGTTTGGTCTTTATAAGAGATCCCAGAGGGGTCTTGGCACCCAACATTGTTTGGTCTTTATAAGAGATCCCAGAGGGGTCTTGGTGTCCAACATTGTTTGGTCTTTATAAGAGATCCCAGAGGGGTCTTGGCACCCAACATTGTTTGGTCTTTATAAGAGAGAGGGGTCTTGGTGTCCAACATTGTTTGGTCTTTATAAGAGATCCCAGAGGGGTCTTGGCACCCAACATTGTTTGGTCTTTATAAGAGATCCCAGAGGGGTCTTGGTGTCCAACATTGTTTGGTCTTTATAAGAGATCCCAGAGGGGTCTTGGCACCCAACATTGTTTGGTCTTTATAAGAGATCCCAGAGGGGTCTTGGTGTCCAACATTGTTTGGTCTTTATAAGAGATCCCAGAGGGATCTTGGCACCCAACATTGTTTGGTCTTTATAAGACATCCCAGAGGGGTCTTGGTGTCCAACATTGTTTGGTCTTTATAAGAGATCCCAGAGGGATCTTGGCACCCAACATTGTTTGGTCTTTATAAGAGATCCCAGAGGGATCTTGGCACCCAACATTGTTTGGTCTTTATAAGAGATCCCAGAGGGGTCTTGGCACCCAACATTGTTTGGTCTTTATAAGAGATCCCAGAGGGGTCTTGGCACCCAACATTGTTTGGTCTTTATTTGTTCTTTGAAAGGTGGATCTTTTCCTTCTTTTCTGTTATCTGTTTTTGCTCTTATTGATAAGAAATTTGAACATTCCTTTGTAGAATTACGATAATAAACTTTAACTGCAAAATCCAAAATGCTCATCTATGGGAACCTACATATGAAATTTGAGAAATATTCATTCAGAACTTTCTCAGAAATAGCGATAACAATCTACACAAAGCAAAATCCAAGATGGCCGTCTGTCTGCCTGTTTTTCTTAGCAGTCCAAAAATGAAACAGGCACAACTAAGGACCAAGGGAAACCTACATATCAAATTTGAGAAAGATCCATCCATTACTTCTTAAGAAATAGCAAGAACAAAAATTGTTTACAGATGGAAGACGGACCAATAACATAGGATGATTTGAATTGCCCACCATTTGATGATGGTTGGCCAAAAATAATAAGTAAATTTGAGTTTTGTAGTAAAGAAAAAATCAAAATTACGTGCATCCCGAAAAAAAGCTTGCTGTTTCTTACATAAATAAACTTCCGTAACTTCCAAAGAGAGATTAATCTGATTTTCAAGAGTTAAATTTATCCTTATTGTACAAAACATAGAAAGCAAGTCTAGACAGAAATTACTGGAATTTCAGGGGCTTTTACCTATAATCACAGGTAAGTAAGTACACAAGTAGACGATACAGGACTAGTACAATACTTCATTATATTTTTGGTTTACAATGTCTCTCATATAATCACTGTTTTCTTATAATATACAATTCTATACGAGGCAGACAAGTGAAAGCTTTTAAATGGCCCAGCCAGACATTAGGCGATAAAAATTCTGTTAAATCCTACCTACAGAACCCTGTTGAATATCATTTGACATTTAAACATGTCCTCATGTTGAAGAGCACCTAGCCCCTACTTGTAACCTCTTAAACATCACAATGGAAACATAAAACCACAGTATTTACGACATTTCACCACCTTTTCTAAAAACACATGGCAGGTTAAATCTTATACAATCACTCCCATTTACATGGATAACTTGCAGTAAACTTTTTTTTGCTTCTGCAATTTTTCTCCTTCTTAATTTAATGACAAACATATATTGTATTGTCATTTCCAATGTAGCTTCTATAATGATCAAACCTGGTTTAGCAGATCTGTTAGTGTAACTCTGGAATATTGAAATGGAACAATAAGGTATTTTCATGTAAGGTCTTGAATGTGCTGATAAGGAAACCTAGGATGATGACCTATGCATTATCAAGTATTCACATAAACAGTAACTTTGACCTTGTTACATGAGCTGCCAATCAAGAACTCACTTGACATCTCCATGTAAATATATATCATGTAGTGGACACTTCATCCAATGGTAAAGCTTATGTACTTAGAATTGTTAAAATGCCTTCAAAAATAGTGAAAAACATTTGTATTACAATATAGCCTTGACCATTAAGTGGAAGAAACTATACACCTTATCTAAATATGTGACACTTGAACCAATTCTGAGAATCCATTATGATCCCACAGGAGCTATTTCGGGAGAAGAAAAGCATTTCCTTTCTACTGACCCTTTCACTGAGTTTCAACCCAAACCAAGGGTGAAATTGATCTAGAGCAATACTTGTTTGTTAAGTCAAGTAACTGACAATTGCACAATGTTTATGGAAGATATCATTAGCTTTATAGAAAAAAAAATCATATGATCAGTAATGCTGGCAATTGCCTTTGAGTTTCTTTATCTATTAATAGTTTACTTAACTTTGAAATAACAGCTTGCTGGAGGTTATACTTCCAATATCTAATGTACATTGGATATTTATATTGGAGTATTTAAAGTAGACAGTGATATCTACCATCTGATTGGGTCCAACCATTTATGTATGTGTCCATAGAAATTGAAACCGTAGTTCAAAACAAAAAGGTCATATGGGGGCAGATATCAGGGGAAAGTTTTTACATTCAATACCCTTGAATCATTGATATCTGGTGAAGCTTCCACCTCTCATTAATAATGTATGACAGATCAGTGCTGGCTGCTTTTATACCAGAAGATTTCAACACCTGATTGACCTAGTTATCAGGTTTACCTAAACATACCACACATTGCGTGTGAAATGACATGTAAAAACAGTGGTTACTTTATCATCTGGTATGAAATGATTCCTAAATACAATCATTCATTTGTATTGATTTTGTGCCATTATACTGTGTACTTGTGTATCACATTAAAAGAAGTGGAAATAGTTCAAATTACACTGTAATGACAAAACTATTTCTTATATAAATGATTCCAAAACACTCCAATTATTCAATTATTACAGACTTGTAGTAGTTTGTCTATTTCATGTGCCAACTAAACAAGAAGCATTTTACAAAGTATACATGTGGCATTACCATAATAAAGCTCTGATGAACAAACTTGATAATTACCTTCAATGATCACATAATTATATCTATCAGTACCTTGAATTGCTGATCATTTTATTAATAACCTGACAGAGACAAAGGAAATGAAAAGACTATCAACCAAGAAGTCTGGCTCTGTGTTTCTGCAAATAAGTCAGTTATTATTTTTCAACTGTATAGATGGATAAGATTCGGACACGTTTTTTAGACTCCTTTAAGATGATCTTGATAAATTGGTATTCATTAGTGACCAATAAATTTAATTAGAATAAATTTAATTCATTAAATTATTTAGACCAAATATCACATGATAATTGACATACACAATTACCATATATAACTATTATATAAATGACCCATTCTGACACCATTTCCTGGTGATTTCAAATTACTGTAATATGTGTGAATGAGTCACCAATACAATATTCTCTTAACGTCACACTTTGATCTGTAAATCTCTTAAATGATTTCCAGGCTGGATAACATCAGAGGAAAGAAGTCAATAGAAATGATGAAACCATATATTATAAATGTTCTATAAACAGTTATGCACTGTTATCTACATTTATATAAAGTCAAATTAACTGAGCCAGTGACATTTGGAATACCTTAACAGTATTTAGGATATTTGAATTCTTTACAATACCCAACAAAAACATCACATCAACATTATCGATATGAGTGTTTTGATGTATTTGATTTGCCTGAATATTAATGTTAAGGGTTGAATGGTAAACTATGTCAGCAGAAAATCTGATTACACAGGCAAGGATTCAATGAGGATAAGGACTACTCAGTATTTAATCAATTTACGTGTTTGGAATTTACACTACGGAACCAGATCAATACACAGGTACAATAAGCACATTTACCTAACCTGAGTGATAAGTATATATATCTACAGAGTTACAGATTTACCTATAATCTCTAAATAAATACACACAGGGACAGATAAGGAGCAGATACACAGGCGAAACTTTTCAACATTTACATACCATCTATCATCAGATTAAAAAGGTTTTCTTTGTAAAAGAATTCCAGGGCAAAGAAAGGGGTTGGACATTTTTTTTATTGCAGTATTGGTACCTGGGTATAGCTTTTCTTGTAAGAGGTTCAAATTGAATTGAAATGCAAGATCAAGATTAGGAGGTCAATATTTATCCACTGACAAATACTACTTTTTTTAGAGTATATACTGGTATCGCATCTTTAGATATAAATAAAATGTTCTAGTATGTATACCCACACCCAACAAAGTCAAGCAGACTCACGATTTGTAATTCATCATACCAAATGAGGACAAAACTACGATTCAACAAAATTTGGGATTCATGTATTGAGACTTAATCATCCGCTCGATAAAATAGTGAAATTATTTAGAAAATGTCCCACAAAAGCTTAACACATTTTCTTTCAAAAAGCTATAGTTTCAATTACCATCCAAATTCTTAGTCTCTTTGATTAGAGGAATATAATGTCAGGACATTCTATTGATTGAATGTGAAATTCTCTTATACATTCCGTAGTGATATTCATTGTCAGTTCTCCAATACAGGTAATAACTGATAATTCATGTTGCAACAGGTTGTTATTTAAACATGGAGCCTAATTGGTTTACTGATGAAATAAGGAGATTTTCACACAATAATCTAATTATGTTAAAAACGTGTTTAGCGTAATAAGAAAGTCATTGTATGAACAGTCACTTCCGTGGTCACATTTATCCTTGTTCATATCAGTCATGGTTCCAATACAAAGAACATACCAAATGAAGTTTGCAGGGGGCCTAGTAACCATAGTATTGTACCTATATTAATTTACAATGTACTCATAAACTTTTAAAGATCTGGCTACAGGAATGCATGGTGTGTGACAAACCATCATTATAGAAAAGTTACAATATGACGTATACCCTGGTATCTGGAATTCAGCTGATTCTAGAATTGCCCTATTAAGTTTAAAGTTTAATGTCTCTAAGCATATTTCCTCAGCATAGATGGCATATTTCTGATCAGTAATTATATTAAATGGTGTAGATTTCCCAGTAGATGAGTTCTGCATCTTAAAAAGAACTGCCACACTAGTACCCGCCATTTTCTCAATTTCCAAATTACTAGTATACTATATACATAGATGATTAAGATCTTGTCACAACCTGTCTACAACAGCATGTGAGCTGCCTTAATTCAGGTGTATCAATGAAACTTGCTGAGACATGCAGAATTCCAGTGTATTGGCGGTAAAGGTATATAACATACATATGTGGTACACCTGATCTATCATATATCTACAAGCTTTTATCTGGGACATTCTTTGTTTGTTGACAGTTCAAGTTTCACAGATTGAAAAGACCAAATACAACCTTTAAAGTAGCCAATGTATTTACACACTCCAGATTGATGGGAGTGTTTCGACACATACTGAACTACTGTACAGGAAGGGTAATAAATGTCCACCCTGGCCCACCCCTGGTCTCCGGTAGTAGCCAGTCATCACAATACACTAAACCAAACAATTGGGCTATTTAGAGTAGGATCAATGTGGGATTTGGGTGATTGTACCTAGTGACAAGTGACCGAAGTTATTGACCCTCAATTTCATAGGTCTGCCAGACTGGATAGTTTGATATACTCTTGATCACATAGACAAATATTTTTAAATTATCTAAAACATCCCCAGATAAATCAATTCATGGCCAGATATATAAATTCATGAAATTAATCAACATTTCTCTGATTTTGTTTTCTTTATAAACTAACAGCTTATAAAATTAAATGAAAATATTTGCTCACAATTCTGGTTTTCTGTTAATTAAACAATAATCAGTCTGCCCCAGTCAATATTTCCCGAGACTGATACATGTACACCTGCATGTTTTACCCTAGTAAACCTGAGCCTTTTCACATGGCTATACAATATCATCACCATAAAAACTGTTACAATAACAGTCAACAAATGGATTACTGATTCATTATTACACCCATAAATACTAAATGAGCATATTGATCATGTTTTATACAAAATACAGGGCAAATCAATACACTGTTTTCCGGTTGTAATTTGTAGCAGAGTCTGTGTTCTCCAATATTGAATATCAACATTTCCCTCTGGGCCAAAGCTTAGAAATGACTATTTCAATATATAATTCATTTTGTTTATCAGTTTTTACTTTTTTTCCACACAAGGGTTTGTTAAAAAATTATTTTGTGCTCAGATAGCATATTTTAAAGTTTTTCAGTGAGCAGTGTACAATGAAACGAAAATCAATAAAAACTCCAATACTAAAAATATTTCATGTTCTGAAAATTGTTGGAAGTTCTAGTCTGGTGTTGCCAAGAAATCCTTGATTCTTGTAACCAGTACCATATAATCTGCAGATCAAATTCCCCCCACCTTCACAAAAAAAAAAAAAAAAAAAAAATACACATCAATGATAAATATTTTCTGAAGCTTCTGATACAAGTACTGAGAGCTTAAGTATGAAGTTCTTATTCTTGACATAACACTTGAACAACACTACAGTAGGATTTGTTGGGAAGAAATGTAAATCAAATTCTGACACAAATGTCAGTAAAATTACAACTGTCCTCCACTAACTCCAAGTATATACATTAGTCTGTTCTATTGTAACCTCATACTAACAATTCATTCAAAGTACATTATCCACAGTTGAAATTGCAATTCAGAAATTTGATTCACTTATTTTCCCCAATAACTCAAATTTCAATTGCCTTTGGTATTCATGAAAAATTTGAATATACTAAGCTTCAAAGTTACTATTTTGCATAAAAAAAAATGATATAAACTGCATGTTAAACATATGTTCCTCTTTAGTCTTTGATCACAGTACGTCATATTCATATGTATATTTAAACATATTACATAGTTCTAAAAACTTGTATTTTACAGCACTTTGTTAATCTGTCTTAAAACTCTTGGCTCATATCCACCAAGTGTAGAACGTAATGAACCAAAGCATATATCTGCCCCACATGTATAGGAATCATTACCACTAAATAATGTACTATACATATACCTACTTATGGGGTCAATAGAATTCTAAAACTGCTGATCTGCAGATCTCCAGATCAAAATTAAACATTCATGAGAGAAAGAATTCCTGTTTTAAATATTTCAAAATAACTGCAACTTTGAATAAACAAATTCCAATTATCAATAGCACAGGTCTATCACTTTTTGTTTTATCAGAATGACATATACACATTAAGAAATTATTTCTGATATAAGATGGCGATATGGTTGCAGAATATATCTTGAAAAACATGTTTTATGTTTGAATTTTTTTCCCCTTTTCAGGTTAATTATGACAGAAATCCCAGTGCTGACATGCATCTTCAATATCACACTTATTTCAATATTTACCTAGATTATTTAATGAAAAACAACATTCAATAATCCTTGAAAAGTAAACGCAAACATTCTGAAGATTGCTTAAATGCTTTATCTTGGCAAACATTTGACCTGCTACTAATAAGTGTTTTCAAAGTTGACATGTTCTTTTCTAAATTAAGCAAAGTATGTGCTAAAGTTTTTCATTCAACCGAGTCTGGACCAGTTTTTGTAAAGGCGGCAACAAAATTAAAGCAATGCAATGGACATATACAGGCATATAACACGCATTATATCACTTTTGTATAATTTAAATCAATAAAAGTAAAAGTGCGGTATGCACTGTCGAGGTTTGCATTTCCTCGTATAATCATGCATACTTCACATAATCACTCTGTCGGCCTAGCAACCGCACCGGATCTTGATAGTTGTGGATATCATACGTGTTTATGCAAAAAATCAAATGGTAACAAGTGCAAAAATATATTCGAAAACTAAGGGATGCTATATTTGTACCGTACTTACATAATAATTTTGCAACCATCTCTCTAACTTCTCTTGAAGCACAGTAAATGTGCCAATATTCACCAAACGTCTCAAAGACTCCGCCATTTTCGACGCTTTCTCTCCGGCTCTCACGGCGATGTGATGACGCATGCGTAATGATAGTATATGTATTTCCTCTGATAAAGTCACGTGATCACTTCACAGGTGTACAAAGATGTGATAACGGAACTCTACTATTAAGCTAGCTAACGGTAAACAGGTAACCACACTATGACGTCAAGACACGATTTGATAAACTGTATACGTAAATGAAATTATGTTGGTTCTATCTATTTTAAAATATTCACCTTGCTTAAGCGCTGGGAAATACCAAATATTTTACGATGTATATGACTTCAACACTTAGCAGACACAAATACGTTTTTCTTTGTTTTTTTTTTCGTCATAAGATATGTTCAAATATCTAATCATAAACAACTATGAAATATTCTGAACATACATTTATTATTTTGTATATTTATACAAATTTTTCACTCCGATCATCGAGGAAAGGATTAAATTTGCCAAAAATCATAGTTTGAATCTCTTCAGTCTGTCAAATAAATGTGAATTGGAACAGTGGTGTATGACACCTTGATGTGACACAGGTCCAAATGAGAGCTAGGACAGTTTGTGGATTATACGCAACTCATTATATTGGATGTCCAATTTCAAGTTTTATTCCTGTAGAAAAAAATAACATATTTTGTTAAGATGGCAGCAACAAAGCCATCTTGATTGCGGTGCAGATCCAAGATTTATTCCGTCTCGATACAACTTCACATTCATGAGGAATAGAAAAAAGATTTTTAGGATGGTATGGCAGCCATCTTGATTGTTAAATGGTTTGGATTTTCATTTAGATCCAGTTACCAACTATGGGCCATACCCAACTCACCAGTGGATTAAGGTCCTATCACTGGGTCATCTTCTGTCCGTGGTCTGTTCGGTCCGTCCGTCTGTAAACAATTTTTATTATTGCTATTTCTTGAGAAGTACTGAATGTGTCTTTCTAAAATTGCATATGTAGAATCCCCATTGTCCCTAGTTGTACCCAATGAATGATCAAATAAACAAAATGGCCCAAAGATGGCCATTTTGGACTTTTTCAATGAAGATTGTTATTGCTATTTGCTATTTGCTAAGTGTTGAATGGATCTCTCTTAAATTTCATATGTAGGTTCCCTTTGGTCTCTGGTTGTGCCCGTCTAATTTTGGGACTGGTTGGAAAAACGAAATGGCCAACAGGTGGCCATCTTGGATTTTGACTTTGCAAGATTGTTATCGTCATTTCTTCAGAAGTGCTGGATGGATCTTTCTTAAATTTCATAAGTAGGTCCCCTTGGTCTCCAGTTGTGCCCATTTAATTTTGGAACTGCCAGAAAAAACAAAATGGCTGATAAGCAGCCATCTTGGATTTTTTCAATGACGTTTATTATTGCTATTTCTTCAGAAGTATTGCTTGGATCTTTCTTAAATTTCACACATAGGGGCCCCTTGGTCCCTAGTTGTGCCCATTTTATTTTGGGTCTATATAAATATAAACTTTATTTATTTTACAACAATTGCGAAACAAGTTATGTCAACTTATACTAATCACTCTTGTTGGCCCGGATGTAAGCGCGCGAGGGGTCTTATTGTGGGAGGAAACCGGAGTACCCGGGGAAAACCCACGTGGTCCGGCAGGTGGCCCCTTACCTTTTCACGTCCGTTCCGGGAATCGAACCCCGGTCGGCTTGGTGAAAGGCGAGTGCGTTAACACTGCGCCACCGGACCTTGGGTCTAGTGAGAAAAACAAAATGGCTGAGAGACAGCCATCTTGAATTTTGACTTTGAAAGATTGTTATTGTTATTTCTTGAGAAGCACTTGATGGATTTTTCTCAAATTTCATTTGAAGGTTCCTCTTTTGCCCTATTGTGCCTGTTTGATTTTGGTATTGATCAGAAAAAAATGGTTGACAGGCAGCCATCTTGGATTTCATGTCTTTAAGATTGTTATCCCTATTTCTTGATAACTACTTGATGTTCCCTTTGGTCTCTCCTTGTGCCCATTTGATTTTGGAACTGATCACAAGAAACAAAATGGCTTTCAGGTGGCCATTTGGATTTGGCAGGTAAAGATGATCACAATTTCTGCAAGTGAATGTTCAAATGTCTTATCATTAAGAGCAAAAACAGAAAAGAAAAAAGAGGAAAAAAGATCCATCTTTCAAAGAGCAAATAAAGATGGGATCTCTTGTTTGGAGACTTGGCAATAATGTGAAATTCCTTACAGTTAGACACACAGATGCTGGACAATATTTCATGATGCAAGCTTGTTTGGTGTCTGACATGTTGTGTACATAGGTGACATTCATAGATATTGATAAGTTTTTAAGGCATCAGCAGTGAATATGTGGTGGTCGGATGGTGCAGTGTTAACACACTCGCCTTTCACCTAGCCGATTGGGGTTCGATTCCCGGAACGGACGTGAAAAGGTAAGGGGTCACCTGCCTGACCACGTGGGTTTTCCCCGGGTACTCCGGTTTCCTCCCACAATAAGACCCCTCGCGCGCTTACATCCGGGCCAACAAGAGTGATTAGTATAAGCTGACATAACTTGTTTCGCAATTGTTGTAAAATAAATAAAGTTTACATTTTTTTTATAGTGAATATGTTGTGAATTCCTTCCTGACACCTGATCTTATTCTCAACTGACTTGTTCAAGAGATTCTGTGAATCTTTTTTTCAATCATATTTTCCCTTCACTTCCTCAATTTTGATTTTGAATTATGACCATGTTGACATGGTTTTTTTTAACAATATGTCTCTATAGCAGGTTTAGTGTCATTATTAATTTGCTTAAGGAATATTGTTTAAAGGAATATTGAGTCACTTTAAATGTGTTGGCCTTTTACCTTAACAAGCAGGATTCAATTTCCCGATCAGACATAACCTGGACCAATGCAGAATGATTGATATAAGCTTTAAGATTTTTCTTCATTGCTGTAAGATAAATAATCTTTGTTCATATCTCATATAACGTGTTGCAAAGCTTAAGTTAAGAAATATCAAGTTTGTTCATATGAATGAACTTGAGACTGACAGGGCATCCCTGGGATCTTGGGTGTTGACCTTTGAATTTGAGACTGTCAGGGGATCCCTGGGATCTTGGGTGTTGACCTTTATATTTGAGACTGTCAGGGGATCGCTGGGATCTTGGTACTGAGGATTGTATGATCTGCATCACAAAGTAGTCTCAAAAACTGAGAAAGATTCATAGTGTAGTGAATTTGTAATGTCTAATGGGTATCCACTTGTTATTGTCGTGTGTGTGCAGTCACCTGTGATGTGAGGGAGGCATGTGTGTTTGTTGTTCTGTTTACATTGTAATGTGACCATGGGCCGTTATTCAGGTAGCGTGATTGGTATATAAGCACGCAAATTACAGGTAACCAGGCCCCTTTTCACTCCTGACACACAACCAAAAAGGTATAGCATCACCCAACTTTCTGAGACCAGCTAAATGTCGGATGGACTGCAGTAACTTGCAGAGTGCTGGGCATGGCATGAAGGGTGCGGGATTGGCACCAGAGCGCACAATGCGCCAGAAACGCCAGCGCTGGCGGGTGTGGCAGTCCTGCTAACATCAAGGAATCATGCGTACTGCAAAGTACCAGAGGTGCTCTATTTACACTGGTCACACTCCCTGAATGGCAGGCCACTCCTTGTTAACCATCACCTAATGTTATTGCAGGTATTATATATCTCTCCCTGATAAAACTTCTATTCAGTACTGTGCTCTGGTTGTACGGAACGCTACACTAGAATCAATTCTTCTATAGAAGCAATGAAAAACCTTTTATTGTTCAGATCCTAAACAAACAAAATACACACTATTAACAATTAACAATTTGAAATCTTGCAATCTGATGATGATTGGTGAATAATGAAGAAGTATTTGTGTGTGAGAAACAGTGGGGTGGGGTTGAGAGTTGGTGGTTGTAAGAGGGAATATATTTAAAAATTTTAAATCTCAGAAATGATTTGATGATTTGAATCTCTTTAATTTTCAAACCAAACAACGTGATAGTTGTACGCTAATTTAATACAATCCTTGACAGTCTTAGTTATCAAGAGGAAATCGATCTGTACAATAGAATTGTATACAGTACAATGATTCATGAATGAATATGATGTCTTGACAGAACTCAGGAAAGAAATAAGATGCTAAAATTCAACATGTCTAACTTGATGTACTGACAATGAAAAACCATTCATGTAGATATTAACTTTCTTATAATAAACCTCACGTGGTCCCAGACAGACAGATGCCACCACATATACCAGTAAATGTATATAATACAAATTAACAAAGGGGAAGTTTTAGGATCAGATGATAAGTTACACAATCATGGTTTGGGCAACAAGTTATGTCCCCTTACACTCAAAACTCAAAAAAAAGACCTGCATTTAAAATATGCTTGTTAGTAAATTTAAATACTTGCAAACAAATGGTATGAATTACATGAATCAAATTTTCTATTAGAACATACATGTATATCTAAACCATACATCTACACTTGTGCAAGATATGATGTTGTGGATGAATGAATTTTTGCGATTTCTCCACGAGAGATAATATTGACAATAGTCATTACAAAATGAAGTCTGTAGATTTAATATGACAACAAAATTTTATACATGTACAATGACCTTACCAGATGTTTTAGGCCCATGATGTTAAAAAGACAAACTTCTACAAGAGATGATGTTCATGAATAGAACTACATGCAAATTATAGACCTATGATATTATATCAGTAATAAATTAACAGTTTATATAACATGTACGATTTACTCATTGGGTTATTAACAGATTATATAATGTGTACTCTTTGGGTTCCAATATGGCATTGTGACATTAGTATCATTGTCATTAGATCATCATTTTACAGATTATAGAACATCATGTGTACGAATTATTCCTCACATTACATCATGGTGTTATGACTTCAGCATCTGTACATTATTTTACAATCAATACATGTGTTACATGATGTCAATGTAGAAAAAACAATTCTGAATTGGTCTCCATGGTGAAAACACAATTGGTACAGTTACAATCAGATCTAGATTCATTTAACACTTCTGTTTCCCATCGAAAGCTTCTAGCATTATTTCAAAATGGTCAGAATATCAATCTACAAATGGATCAATACCCCACATGTTCTCAAATAACAGAAGCAGGAATAATTAATAATTGAGTTATAAGGGAATTAAAATGTGAATGATAAATAATTAAACCATATATAGAGGAATAGATTCCATCATCAAGGAAAAAAGATGTGAAGACTGAAGTTGACATACACAATATGGGTAAGATGTGATCTTTGACATGACTACTCCTGTACTCTAATTCATTTTATACATGTTACAGTTAATTTAAAACAGCAAGCTCTCCCAGTCGACAGCAATATACAGTTTCATGATAATGAAAGTTCCATAAAAGTTGGGTAAAAGGTTTATTGAGCATTATACTGGATCTGCAAAAGGGTATAACTGACAAATACAGTCTTAATACTGAGATACACTACATAAAAATAAAGAAACATACAAATAGCTACTTCAAAATTGCAACACCAACTTTACGTTAAATTGACTGCGGATTCCTCTCACTTTACAGCAATCATTTGCCTTTATGCTAATGCTTAAGTAACACCTCAAGATGCAATCTGTTTTAAAACACGAGTAGTTGACAGTTATGTGATACATTTCAGACTTTGGAGGAGACTTACATTTCCTAGGTAATTATTGCTGAACCCATCTCTGATCTTCCTAGCACTAGCTAACATTTACAGAATTACACCATTAACAAAATGTTGGAGGAACTAATTCTCAAAATTAGCCACATGTATGCCGACAGAATCATAAATCACATACTCTACAAAATGAGCAGTATTGTGCAGTAACAGATACTTGATTCATCTATTACCTCCTGTATAAAAGTTTAGAAATATAGGATCCTCAACATTCAGTATTAGTTAATTACTATACCACTGGATGTTGAGTATCCTTGCTTTTTAGACTTTCGTGTACTACATTGTAAGGATCTGAATACCTTACATTATCCATCCAGCAGCAGTACCGCATTTGACACTTTGGAAGTGTTGGTTCTCTTACCTTATTCTAATTTTTCTTTTATAAAAGTTGCAATAACTAGGATTCAACCAGATACATATCAATTAAAAATTATTCTCCTTTCTGGAATAACTTGTACATTTCCAACCTCATTCCTGTTTCTAAACATTACATATTAAAGGCTTTTATGCTTCATTTTGCCAGTGTTTAATCATATAATATAACTGTAGATAATAATAAACATTGTATGCATTGAAATTCTTCACCTTAAGTTGTCGACACACATATCATTAGGGAATGACAAGTATCATCATCCATTAAAAGATCACGTTTATCATTGCCTGGCTTACACAATACCAAAGTTTCACAACAATTCTAGTCATTCATTAAATTCAGTGGATGAAAGGATAATTCAACACTATTTTTTAATCATATATTCTCTTGAAGATTCCATTTTTTCAATCATCTCCAACACCTCTATGATTGTGGTCCATTGGTCCATATCACCATCAGCAACATTATTCCTATTAATCATCACTTCGTTTGGAAAAATAATTGAATAGCCAAAAAAAAAAAAAAAAAATAAAAAAAAGATTTAGACACTATCATGTAACTGTTGTTTCTATAATGTGGCTCCTGACAAGTTCTCGTAGTTCCTGAAGACAGTAATCCTCTGGCATAGGTAACCTACTGATGTAGGGAGCCAGTAACCTGTAATACAGAAAACATGTACTGAATAAGTTTTCATGTATTAAAACCAATTTGAAAATTTAGAGTTTGTGATGCTTTGATAACTACACTGTGACTCATCTGAGAAGTGACCAAAAGCATAACTTAGTGATGATCAGAAAAATAACACAAAATTCATCAATTAGTGTTCTTACAAACTGTTACATAATCTTGCAAGTCATCATTATCCTTATCACTTCCCACTAAATAATCCCACAAACATTTACTTTTTGTGTATCTTTTTTCAAAACATAAATAATCTACTAACACAGGTTACATATTTTCTTAATATCATTTCTCATGAGTTAATAGAAGATTATTTCAGTAAACATCACCTATTCTGTACAGCTAAAGGGGAGAACCTGTGTTATTGTAACACACAGTAAACAAACCTGTAATTACACAGTCTATACTGACCTAGAGGGTAGATGATCCCCATCCTGTCCTTGTAAAGTTAATAATGTCCGCAGGAGATAAGCACATTTCTTTGACATCTCAGACTGACATAACCTGAAAAAGCAACAGTGGACAAATGTAACCTGAAAAAGCAACACCTTACTTAAATAACTTAAGATTTGATAAAGATCACAAACAGTTATCATACTTCTAAGTTCCAAAGTATCTTAAGTTCACAGCTCTTCTATCCTCATCCTAAAGTATACAGTAATGATGCCATAAAAATCTTAAGAGGAAAATCACACAATCATTTTTCATTTCAAATGAAGTTTGAATGATATCCATCTACACTGAAAATGCATTGAACTATTGGGAGATAGAGGACAGCTTATCATTGGTGACATACCTGTCTTTTGAGTTATTACATACTAGGCTGCCTACACGGCTACACAGTGACATCACATCAGAATGTAGGCCCTCCAGGTGTACATTGGAGCGTTGCTACAAAACATAAATTGATTTAATTAACAAGTTTGAAAGAATTTATAAGGAAAGTTTTTTTCTGAACATGTTTAGGCAAACTTGTTGCATTAAATGAACATAAATAGAAAGAACTGGATGAAGTGATAATGGTCATAAAGATGAAGAAAGCTTACCTCATCCTTTTGAAGGTCTTTCTTCAGATTCTCCAACTCCTGACATAGATTGATGTAGTCCACAAACACATGACCGCCTCTTGACCAATCAACAACTTTGTTGCAGCGTGTTGCAGGAGATAACTCCACAAGAAATTTTCTAAGATAGTCATGGTTTTCTGAAAGTAAACACATACTTATTGAAACATTTTTTTCATCGATACTTTCCCATCCCCCATTTTTTTTAAACTTGAAGGTAAATCAAGAAGTTTCTTCTATAATGAATAGACAACATTCAGTTGATAAGGACTAAGAATTTAATATTTATTCAGTGCAGGTAAGTATCCGGAGATACTGTAAAATTATTAGGTGCCCCAAAGCTTACCATTGATGATAGCATCTGCTGCAATGTGTTTCAGTACCACTCGATGACTGTCATTCCAGTGTCCAGATTTTAGCAAATGCCAGGCTTCTTCATGGGGACGGTTCTCAAATCTTGCTCGCATTGCCTATCAACAGGGTACAAATTATAATCAAAACGTATCAGAGAACAATAACACAACTGTCCTTTGTTTATTGTGTTTACTGTATTCTAACCTCTAAATATTATATTACAGGTATTACACAATAACAAAAGATACAGAGGTTAAGCAATGTCAACAGGATTAGAAAACTGTGTAGCCCTCGTGAAAATTCGCATTTTTGTTACCTTTGCAAAGTGAATCCACTCTGCGGGGACATCAAGTTTTTCTCGCAGGAACTGTTCTTTTTCCAAATAGAAGTGGTCTTTAGATAGGCCCACATGGCGGAGTAACAGCTCTCTCACAGCAGACTCTCGGCTGAAACAACACAATCTAGATTAAGGCTCAGGGAACTATATCTTGATACCAACAAAGTTACAAGAACTTCTAACATTTTCTCCAGTAAAGTATTTCTGTATAGGGGTTTATAGGGGACATCGAGGTAGAGATGTTGTATTGACAAGAACTGCTATGCTCCGGCACTAAAGTTTTAACACAGAGACATTTAAGGTGAAGGTACTTACTACACTTGCTGTTCTATGTGGAGCACTGCAAACACAGCCCACTCCCATAGACCAACAGACTCAAGTTGGGAGGCAAAGTTCATGTGTATGGAATTCCTATGGTAGGAGGACAGATGTCTGTAACCAAGTGCTTCGAGGGACTGGTGTAGATGCCAGCTGTTAAGAAGTAAGAAAACATTGATAGACATATATTGTACAAAACCAAGCTTTTTCTGTATTGGGGATTCTTTCGCATTAGTTTTCTAAAGAATCAAAAATAAAACTGTAAAGGTCAAGGTGACTACAGGAAGAGGGATGAAGAGCTTACCTGAGTCTGTAGTCGAGGTGACTGGAGGTGGATGAGGATGGATTGAGAAGCGGCTGTAGATTGTGTGATCGCTGTGAGTAAAGTTTCAACAGGTGATAACATGTGTCCTTGGTTTCCCAGTTATCTTCTGTCCCCATGGTTGATAGGTCAGAGGTCATCTCCAGGTAAGGTGGCAGTGGTGGGTTACAATAACGACCATATGTGGTTGCCCCTTGGAAACCATTTTCATACTCTTCGAGGGCTTGTTGGATTGGGGAGCTTGGAGGACATAGGTACCTGTATACATAATCAGTATCACAAATTTTTAATAACTTTCCATCCAATTTCGGTCCATTAACGTTTTACTGTTGAGCTACTTCATCAAAGTATTGTATATTTTCCATTGATGAAAACCATTTTGTACCATTTTGAAAGGAAAGAAAACTGATTGATGTAATCATGAAGTTAATTACAGAATGAAATTATGTACAAAGGATTTATTATTTTGTAAGTTGAAATCTGCTTGGTAGTTCAGAAGTCGAGTCACTGTTACCCATTATTCTGTATAACTCTGAACAAGTCCCATGTCATGACAGTTGGTTGAAACCTGCTCATTACTTCAGTTAAAGAATTAGTTTATCACAATCAACTTATCGAATTCATCTGATCCTGCCACACAAAGAGGGTCAGCCCCTTTATATCTTGAAGTCTAAGGAAGCTACATAAAAATTCAATTGATTTTTTATTGCTGTTCAGCACATTTACAGATGTTTTAAATGGAAAAGTTGCATACCAATTGGCCTACAACCAGATAAACATATATTCTTTAAGCCTTTATTCTATTACAGATGACAAGAATACTTCGTGATCAGTGGAACATTCAAAAGATTCAGTACACAAACCACCCAAATTTTGTGATCGTTACCAAAGATGTAAAGCAAGAGCTCGTTTCCAGTCCATGTATTCACATGTATTAACTGTGGATTCTGGGGTAGGCCAGACAAGGCGACCCGCCATCAGGGCATAGATCTTCTGGTGTACAGGGTCCAGGTAACTGCAAGCCTAGGACATAAGAAATATTTACTGTTAATTCAGGAATAGATATTTTATTGTATACAACATTTGATATCTAAGACTGAAATCCCCAGATCAGCAAAACATTAACGAATCACTGGTATACATTTCATGTAAATGATTTCATGTTCTCGTATACAATATTGTAGACAAATTGCAGTGCTTATACACAATGCATGCAGGTGATTTGCTGTACTTGTATGTAATATATGAAGACAATTTCCTATATTTTACATAATACTCACCTCCAATTCTATCCACTCATTAAGCATGCTTTCTACCAGTTGTCTGGGGATATGACTGCCTGCAGCCTGGGCCAATGTCAGAGCCAGGCGGTGGTCAGAGGAGGCCTGGGCCAGAGAACATGCCTCTGATATCTGGTTACCACTCAGGTAGGCCAGCACTGCAGGCAGGTGGTTCTTATTCTGAAGGGATAATTATTCAATATGATCAACATGTACAAAATGAGACTGTGGAATTTGAATTTTGCATGCCAGATAATCTATATATTCAAATATATTAAACATATATCATATAGACTTCAATAACAGAAAACATGAATTTCTAGGCTAAATATAATTCACTCCTAACTCTACAGTTACTGACACCAATGTGTTTGTCCAGTCTGGGCTTTATTGTAAATTCTTCAACAATCATCCAAACAGATAAATAATATTTCCCCCGGAGACATGATGATCATTAATACTCACTTTGTACTTTGCATCATTTATCTCCTTTTTGATAACCTCCTTGGATGTGTTCATAAGCCAGTGAGACACCGCCTCTCGTCGGTCATGATGGAAGTCATAACATTCCTCTATATTATCTACAACACACACTTTTAGTATGATATATTTATCTTGATAACACATCATTTTACATATTCTCGTCCACTGAAAGGACGAAGGGCAGTAAAAGTGGAGTAAAACCTGTTAAATAATTAATAAACATCATTCTATACTAAATCCTCATCAATTTCTGTTACAGACCTGACATCAATCTTACGACAGCTGAATCAGTGAAGGCATGCACCATAAAGGAGGGAGTGAGATGAAGAAAGTTAAAAAATAGTATCTCATTATTTAATGGGAAAGGCGGGTGGAAAATCTGTAGCAAAAGGTTTTAGTGGTAACCAGCTATGTTTTAAACCATTGACAAATACTAGCCTGATTTAACAATAAATCAAACATTCACAAAATAAGTACAAGTCTGGAAAATTGTTCCATAATATCTCTCAGTATTGTAACTGTATCATGTTCCAATTTCATTCACTGGTGCATGTGTACTTACCAAGGTCTGGAAATGCTGACAATCTCCCCCATAATGACACACACAAGTCAAACACAGTGGTCATATGACTAAGTGAGTCATAATCTGGGTGTCCCTCTGTAAAAGTTGAGGTTAAAATCTGGTATATACATATATATAGTTTTCTACAAGTTTCTTAACATAATCATAATAGTTGCAGAAATTTGTTGCTAAATCTTACACTGAAGTCTGGATATCTTAATAATCTGTTTATCTTATACTGTATAGCTAGTTACATTTTTGTCGGGATAATATTTTTGCAGGCCTGAACATAATAATGAAAATTCTGTCCGTACATTAATAAGACATATGTAAATACAATCCTTGACATAATTAAACTCTATGTATAGACAGTTGTCTTATCAGTATAGTCACTAGCAGATGCAGCTGAGTCGTCTAAAGGTATTTCTACATAACAATTAAAATGATTATGTTATTTTTGATATATTTTTTGTCAGAAACCAAATCAAATATTTGTTGTTAATCTATTGAGGTGTATGGTTACTTTACCAGTGTCCTGGGTGTCCAGTTTGGCCCTATCTGCATACTGATGCAGGGCATCCACACCTGGACTGGGGACAAAGTGTGGACAAGAATCAGACCGTGTCTTCTCTGCATGGTCGAGCTGGATCATCAGGAGCTCCTCATGGTTATGCTAGAATTAGGTCAGACCAGGGTAATTAGGTCAAGAATAAAAGCAAGGTTTAATTAATGAAAATAGGTCATACTGGGATTACTAGGGCAAGAAAAAAAGCCAGGTTATATTGTGGGAAAAAGTCAGACCCGGTACAGAAATTATTGTACATGTACTACACTAACCACCACTGTCGTATCCTCCTGCCTGAAGTAGCCAGCCACATCAACCTTCTCAACAGTAACCTTCCACTCATATGTACTGTCCACAGCAGGCCGTGTTCTACCACCCGACAGCAAAGAAAAACCAACTGCATCATTGTCTTCTGAAATACATCAATGTCAAAGAAATATGAAAAAAATTGACTTAACTAAAGACTTTCAATAGACCATCCAAAAATCTCCCCAATTCTTCCAAAAGGCTGATAAAAAGTCATTTATCAATAAATGAAAATTAAGGTCACTTTTTACAGAAATTAAATACTTAGAATGAATTAATGGCATCGAAGGTCTGACTGAACAGTGTCAAAACTATTACCTGGTAACAAAAGCCATTCTCTTACTAATAAAGACATTATTGCTTATCATTCTTCGAAGCTTTTCTATGATTGTATACAAATACTTATGACACCATTTCAGTCTTCAAGCCTTCCCTTGAATGGCCCCTTAATACCCACTTTGAGTTGCATCTGTGACACCACTGCCCACACAAAACCACCACTCAACAGACAAAGATTGGACTTTTTCAATGTATACCTGTGATATCTTTTGTGACAGGTGTCCCACAATGAGCAAGGGTCCAATTTGGTCCCCAGCCTACACGGAAAGATCGCCCCATAAATAAAGCTGCATCTTTTATCAGGCTCTGCTTCCCATACATTTCTGATTTGGAATACTCTGGGATTTCTCTTTGGACACGGGAACCCACGATCTTCTGTGGGAAATCTTCAGGCTTCATTCCACTCGCCAGAGTCATATGTTCAGCTACAGGTGGATACTGAAAATTCTTCTTAGCGGGTCGTATAGGCTCAGGTGTGTGGATACGAGGGGGAAACATTCCTGATTCAGAAATAAAACAGATTGTCAGAAATAATTTTCTCTTAATTAGAGTATCTGATGTCTGTTAATACTCACCCATCAACACATGAGAGGTCATTTCGGTCATCCACCGGTGAAAGACACAAGGATCCAAAATGAAATAATATCAAACAAACTAAAAGGTAAAAGACAAATGCTAACAAGAGGCCTAGCGGATTTGATGGTCCCCTGAGATAAGCAATATTGAATACAGAGGTTATAAAGTGTCATGAAAAAGGAATTGTGACACTGAATATAGTAAGTTAGTGTCAATACATGCATGCCATCAAAACTGACATCCTATACTGGTAATTGTTATAAAATGATTTCCAGTGGGAAAAAGCTAATGTTATGCCCAAAATGCAATTTTTCTATGAAAATTACAGTCTGAAAAAAAAAATTCCTCCCAAGAAAGAAATATGAAACTCATTTTGGTAATTAAAGCACCTCAAGATGCTACCATTCATGAAGAGTGTTTGATTCTACCATATCTGAGTTTTGAGAAGACAATTTTTTTAAATTTAAGTCAATTTGACCCCTTTTGGCCCCGCCCATCAGCCCCTGGGAGTCAGTCAGGATCATCCTTCACTCATAATTGTAACCAAATTTGAAACATTTCCAATGGAAATTAAACAAATTATGCTCAAAAATCTAGTTTTCCTATACAAACTATAGTAAACTTTACCCCCTCCCCATGGGGAAATATGAGACCCTGGGCCCATGAAATTCACAATTTTAATAAAGCACTTTAAGATGCTTCCATTCATGAAGATATTTGATTCTACCATATCTGGGTCTTGAGAAGATGATTTTTGAAATCCGAGTCAATTTGACCCCTTTTGGCCCCATCCCTCAGGCCCCTGAGGGATGGCTACTGTATAATTAACAATTTTGATCCAACTTAAACCAAAGAAGGTTTCTGTAAAATTTCATTGAAATCGGATCAGGTGTTTTTGAGAAGAAGTTGAAAGTGTTAAATTGTTTACAGACGCATGACGCAAAACACATGTCACACAAGGCTGGATAAAGGGTATTAGAATAGACCTAATGGTGACCTAATCATATTTATTAAATCTGTTTTTGTTTATGGTTAATTTCATATTCATCCTAATCACTAACTTATCATTACCTAAAGTCTGTGTTATATTCCTTAAGCTATTGTTACCTAAAGTCTGTGGTATATTCCTTAAGCTATTGTTACCTAAAGTCTGTGTTATATTCCTTACCTTGTTGTTCCCTAAAGTCTGTGTTATATTCCTTAAGCTATTGTTACCTAAAGTCTGTGTTATATTCCTTAAGCTATTGTTACCTAAAGTCTGTGTTATATTCCTTAAGCTATTGTTACCTAAAGTCTGTGGTATATTCCTCACCTTGTTGTTCCCTGAAGTCTGTGGTCTGCGGCCTCTGTGACAGTTTGACAGGAGACATACAAGCAGACTTGTAAGCAGAGCTAAAAAGACTTGGACCATGTCTGTCTGTGGTTTCCTGACCTTTCTTGGTCTCCATATCTCCACCTGTATGGAACATACCAAAACTTGTATTGGATGTACAGGAAGATGCATTACATTGAGACAGAACTACTGAAATAGTTGACCCAACCTAATAATACTGTTTCTATTGGTATCACCATTGTCCTTTAAGCAGTTTACCTATTAATATTTTTCCTACTGGTATTACCAATGTCCCGCAAGCAGTTTGCACAACCATACTGTCCCCTTCGGTAGTACCAAAGTTCATAAAATAGTTGACCTGACATGTTTAGATGCTTATATCTACTTTTATGAAAGAGAATTAGTTAATGGAGTAAAATAGTTTCTAGCTGAAATTGATTCTAAAACAAAACTAGACTGAAATATTTGTCTCAAATATCTGGTATGAATATTTTCCTTCTTAAAAATCAGAAATGAATATAATTTCCATAGTATCTCATCTTGATACTTGTATATTGTCAACTTCTATATCTAGTCACATGATGCCACATTGGTGGTGTGCTTAGTCAAAAGCAAAGGTGTCTTGTGTATAATATAGTAGGACATGATTAAGTAAGCTGAACCTGTTATCAATCTTTACAAAGTGGAATGTTTTAGATTTTCACATTTACACAATCTTCAGACATGTAAGCTATACTACCCTGACTACAGTACAGTAATTTATCATCACCACTGGTGGAAAAACTCTCAAGTTTTCATATTTTTTTTTCCCTGAAAAGGATATCAGTACTGATCCCTACCTCTTGCCTGTTGCTCTTCCTCGCCACCAAAGAAGGATGCCTTCATCATCTGCATACTGTGGGCACTGACCCCCATACTGGCAGCGAGTCTGTGTGAGGCTGGCCCCTCGTCCTGATCACCGAAGTCATCATCACCTACACAAGGAATCACAGACATTATAACCACAGATAGCATTACATTAAAGAACTGCTTGGTACCAGGGAATAATTCTTAATTGTTGAACGTAAATAAATTGTTCTCTTACAAACAGGAGGAAAAATGAAATCCTAAGTCAGTACACCAGTTTTGAGCAACCGGGAGCTATTCTTAATGGTTAGAAGTAAATAATGTCTCATTCTATTACAAACAGGAGGAAAAATGAAAATTTTTAAATCAGTACATTTGTTCTTAGCAACAAGGAGTTTTTAATATTGGTCAGAATTAAATAAAGAACCATTTGATAATAACACAGGAGGAAAAAAAAATCTATGGACCATTACATTTTTCTGGTTTGATTTCATTTTTCAAGATAACATCAGTTCACTCATTCAACATTTTTGAAAAATAAAAATAAATGATAACTTGGTAGATTGAAAGTACTATTGATCTGATCATTAAAAGGTTTCCTTAGGACAACTTTCTTCTCTTTTTTTCTCTCTCTTAAAGACCAAGAGTATATATTTTATCCTGCTAGCAGCTCGTACATCGTAAAGGACAGTTAATTTCAAATCTAAATTTAGAATATGAATTCTTCAGTGTTATACCCATATCATCAAGGTATTCTTCTGGAATATCATTGTGTGAGAGTTCTGGCACATCATCATCATCCCCCATAGGTACAGGACGGTCATCCATTGTCGACTGTGAAATATCCAATGAGAATTTGGGTGGTGGAGCTGCACCATTGACAGTCTGCTGAGGAATGTAAGGTTGTGCCTGTCCTAAGTGTTGTGGTACCTGGTTCGACATGCCAGGCTGCTGAATGGCTTTCTAAAATGAACACAAAATGATGATGGTGATAAAATAACATGATGATTTCAGCATACTTAATTAAAGAACACCCTGATACTGTTATAATGATTAGTTAACGAGTAAGGCTAAGCCCATATAAGTGTTAATTACAACAGTTTCGTCCGATATTGTGAAACATTTTCTTCAGATTGGTAAGTACTATGACATTTTGTTGACTACACTGGCATCACATTATTTTCCATCTTATTGCACATCAGTTACGTTATAGATCTCATACATGGTATAAAATCAGTTTGTGTAGTCACTGCGAGGTCTTAACATAAAAACAGGTTGCAACATAAAATCTTCTATTTTTTGGCGTCATCAGATATTTGTTTTCTCCAGTGTTCACAGGTCAACACTGGTGGTTAGATGTTACATAACATCAGCATACGGGACAAAGTAATCTGGCCATTACAGTGATTTAACAAATTCCACAATATTCGGTGACCTTTCTTGATCTGTTCTTAAGACCACTAATCCCTATTGTTACCCTGTTATCACTTCCTTGTTACCAAAACACAGTGTGTGAGTGAGGATGTATGAATTCCTCGCTCAACAAAACAGTATTAATGAAGAATTTATACATGTACCAGTCTTTTTATTACTATCCTTCAAATACCTGGAACATTACCTGGTATAACTATTCAAAGACAAACAAATTTTTGTTGTATTTTATACGGGAACCAAACGGTAAATTTCCCATTGATATCACATCAACATTTTAAAAACATCATGGTTGTATCATTGTAATTTTTGATATTTTAAATTCAGAGATTTTTTTTTTGGTAATTTAATGCTGCTGTCCAGGGCTTCTTATCAAGTTAAATTATGACAAATTTTATCATTCTGTGAAACCAAAAGCTATTATACAGTATCATTATCTGTATCAAATAAACCAAATCAACAGATCCATTGAAAATTTCAAAGTGTAACAATAATGGACAATAGAAACAGAATTCCAGATATCAGCTTACTGTACATAAATCTTTTGAACACAGATACTAAGACAGTACCAAGGCCGTTATTCTATGAAGAGTCTTGTTAGTTCCTTGTATCCCTTGCTTGGATACTTATCAGTATACAAGGCAGTTGGATAAAGGGTCCAACTACGAATTAGATGGGGTTTTTTATATTTAGTTTTAAGGTATAGAGAATCTTACTTGAGTACCAATGTAATATGAAATTAATAAAACAAGTTCAATAATTTCACAAGCCTTCAGGACAGTAATGTAACAGATTATTGAACAAGTATATTCTTTCATACATCTATATGAGACAGACTATTAGACTTCCATATTTTGATGCAGATGTTACCTTTTTCACTTCTGAGACATGACTGTATGACAGGTCTCAATAGCCCAGTTATAAGACTCATTATGTTTTTATTTTCAACTTTCACTGATTCTTACTATCTTAATGTCTGACTTCATGTCATGCTATAATTAAAACTTATTAGCCATTTTAAAAAGTTTTTGTAAATTCAAGAGATATGAAAATGTATCAAAAGCAAGGAAAGGGTTTACTATCACTGCTATGTAGCATCACCAAATGGACTGCTTGGGTTGCTGGAATCATGAAACTAAACTTACGTGACTGATGAAATGACACCGACAACAGTAGTAAAAGCTGTTCTTATTACTGAACATAATTTCCATTCCTATGATAACAACATCTACCGCTTTTCTTCAAATGATTTTGTTTCCTATGATAATTATAACAGACACCATCAATTCTGGCTTAAGAATCTTTCAAGTTTTCCGTTAAACGTACTACAGCACCTTCAAGCAGCTGTTTACTATCACATTTATAAAGTTAAGACCAAATTTTGTCGGGCGAAACATATATCTCTACCAGGTATAATATTATATAGGTCTTTAATAGCAATGCACATTTTTAAGGACAAAAACTTGGCCAGGGTCTTAAAATAATGTCCAAGGATATATCACTGTGAATAAAACTACACAATCTACCTTTTAAAACAATAATAGCCATCACAAAGTAAAAGTAGCACTGCTTTTTTGTTTTTAAAAGTATTTTTATTTCAAGCAAGGAATATAAAACACCATACATATAACAACATCCATTTAGTTTAAGCCTTAGGTACATGTAAAAAATATATACTGACTGTATACTGGTATTGTTACATTTGTCCAATTATAAACCAATATAGATTAACATGTGATAAAGGTATCCTAATCTACACAGGTCTGTTTGAGTATACAGATAAAATCTGTGCTGTACATTTCTCCTAGACTTTTCACAGGAACTGCTAATTTATAAACCATCATATAAACAAGGCTGCTATCAGGTGATTAAAACTTTTCTATAATAGCAGATTTCCTACATATAGGAGGAAAGCCAAGATTAATGATGTTTGATAAACTTTTATTAAAAATTGAAATTGTAAAAAAAATATAGAAATGACCTCCACCAGTGCATCTTAAACAAAAGTTCATGAAGGTATGCACATATTGTATGAAGTGTAATAAATATCTATTAAAATCAATCAGACTGAATTCTTGTAAGGATCTACTAAAATCATACTGGTGACATTATGATGGAGAGATAGAATCCTGATCCCAATGTCATAACGTTAAAGTTCTGTTTATTATGTTTTCCTCTGTTCATATTTCCTATATATCACACATATCAGTAGTTCAAATTGTCTAGTTTAAGAGATATAGTTTGAAATGCTTCAACTATTACTGAATCAAGTAATTATGTACAATATATGTAGTTGGCACCCAGGTCTTGTTCCATTTATCTGAACAAGTCATGCATGACTACATGAATCACAAATAATTACTTAAATCCTATAGTTTTTCATTTTTAAGTATATCATATACATGTTGTCTTTCTATTTTTATGAACCATTAATGGAAAACTATATTAAATTTTTATATACAGAAACTCGATTTATACAAGATTACATCAAAATGATTATCTTAATATTCTTGTAGAGGAAGCTTTAATTCTGTAGGATTTGGGAAATTTAGTATGTTACTTAACACAGTAAAAATATCAAGATTCACATAGATCACATCCCTGGTTTACAATGATGGACATCATCAGATGTCTGTGGATGAACTTCTTTGATGATAATTTTCATAGTTTACTCTGATCTAAAGTTAGTAAAACAGTACATATTTATACACATCACATCCCTGGTCTACAATGATGGACATCAACAGATGTCTGTGGATGAACTTCTTTGATGATAATTTTCATAGTTTACTCTGATCTAAAGTTAGTAAAACAGTACATATTTATACACATCACATCCCTGGTTTACAATGATGGAAATCAACAGATGTCTGTGGATGAACTTCTTTAAGGATATTTTTCAGAGTTCACTCTGATCTAAAGTTAGTAAAACAGTTCATGTTTATACACATCACATCCCTGGTCTACAATGGTGGACATCAACAGTTGTCTCCATTTCCTTGAGGGTGTTTTTGTGAACACCAACTGTGAAAGTCCTTAAGAATATTTAACATTAGACAACACTGTACAGCAAAAGTGTGGCAAAGAAATGCTGTATCTTTCAGTCAAATAACACTGCTCCTCAGCTCAATATCAGAACAGGTATTGTTTGAATATGAATGAAAACAGAAATTTCCAAAACTGGACATCAGATGTCTGTGGATGAACTCCTTTGAGGAGATTTTTTTATAGTTTACTCTGATCTAAAGTTAGTAAAACAGTACATGTTTATACACATCACATCCCTGGTCTACAATGGTGGACATCAACAGATGTCTGTGGATGAACTTCTTTAAGGATATTTTTCAGAGTTCACTCTGATCTAAAGTTAGCAAAACAGTACATATTTACATACATCACATCCCTGGTTTAAAATGGTAGACATCAACAATTGTCTCGGGATCCATTTCCTTGAGGTTGTTTTATTTCTTTTTCATAGTTTACTCTGATCTAAGGTATCGTTTAAATGTAAAAAAAACAGAAATCTCCAAAAAGGTTCTGAGAGTTTTGTAGTACACAAATTTTTTATATGCAGATTTTGTTGACTTATTCTTTCTGTAAAGATTTAAGGACCACAAAAAAGATTGTGTCTGTTGTTTCCTTCCCATCACTTAGTGAGATTGTTTCTGTTCTTATCTACATAATCATCTAAACTTCTTATTTACTCTTCTTTTGTAACAATTCTGAGATTTTCTTATTTGTTTTTGTTTGCTTTCAAATTTCGTCAAACGATGCAAATCCAATGGTGAAGATTTATCTGTATCCACGAACAGCTGAGATAACAAGACATTTTGAGTCGAGTCTCTCATCCTGTGCGGAAGGATCAGCTACTGATTCAGGGATCAGCTTACATCTGCAGTGGGTTGATATCTCTACCGACCAGTACTGACCTGCTGTTTCTGAGCCAAGTTGGACAGATCCTCCTCATCACTCTCGTCCATTCCATATTTAGTGAAGTGCTTCACCTATGAGAAACAAAACACCAATTATATCTAAAAACAGTAGTTATTGTGTAGTTTTTTTTTTAAACAGTAAATAGGACTATGTCTGGATGGTAATCTAATATATAGGATATCTCTACTAAAAAAACAAAAAAAAGGACCACATCTCAGGATGGTAATGTAATATACCGGGCAATATCCTTACTACAAACCACCCGAACCCTGTCTCAGGAGGGAAATATCATGCATAAGATATAACCTTACCTCAAACACCCAGGACCCTGTCTCAGGACAGAAATCTAATGTGTAGGATAATGTCCTTACTACAAACATCCACGACCCTGTCTCAGGACAGAAATCTAAATGTAGGATAATGTCCTTACTACAAAAATCCACGACCCTGTCTCAGGATGGTAATGTATTATACCAGGTAATGTCCTTACCTCAAACACCCAGGACCCTGTCTCAGGACAGAAATCTAATGTGTAGGATAATGTCCTTACTACAAACATCCACGACCCTGTTTCAGGACAGAAATCTAAATGTAGGATAATGTCCTTACTACAAACATCCACGACCCTGTCTCAGGATGGTAATGTATTATACCAGGTAATGTCCTTACCTCAAACACCCAGGACCCTGTCTCAGGACAGAAATCTAATGTGTAGGATAATGTCCTTACTACAAACATCCACGACCCTGTCTCAGGACAGAAATCTAAATGTAGGATAATGTCCTTACTACAAACATCCACGACCCTGTCTCAGAATGGTAATGTATTATACTAGGTCATGTCCTTACCTCAAACACCCAGGACCCTGTCTCAGGACGGTAATCTATAAATCTGCCACCGATCCTGTGCGTGATTTCTTCTATTTTCTCCTGGTAATTCATTGCAGACAAACGCTCAGGACTCTACAAAATAAAAGGCCATGATACTTCAAATCATCCAGTTTAAAAGCCTTCCACTCATAAATATTCACATGTGATATGTTGTTTAACAGGAGTTGTTGTATTAACACAAATTCTTTGTAAAGTATTTATTTTTTTGTATTTGTATATAAAGTTCTGAAGAACCCAGGGAGGGCGAAACCGGTAGACGATTAATAATAAAGTCAAGGAATAACCACTCTGCAGACTGTTGTGATTGATACTTATTATCTGATTCTCTCTCCTGATCAATCACCCAGCATACCTGGGGATATCCAGCTGAGGAGTGGAGGCATCTACTATCCACCCAACGAGAACGCACGGCGTTGGCTCTAGTGCCTGAACTCATTTATATATAAAGTTGATGTCCCTAGTGTAATAGTCTAGTATTACGGCTCCAGTAATGCTATATTTTATTGCTGCACACCTTTAATCTAAGAGACACATCCTAAATATTCCATGATAGAGAAAATGTTACACGCATTTCCAGCACAAATCAAAAGCCATGTCTTACCTTGATAGAGGTGCGATCACTTTTGTCGATCGGCCAGACACAGTCTAGTGTGATCTCAGCCTTCCTGTTCAGACCGTCACCAACCGAAGGTTTGTTGTCATCATCAGGATAAACTACTACTTCCTTTCTGCGGATGTGTACTGGCAAAATGAATAATACAAATCTTCAGATTCCTGATACTAGAACATAATTCAACAAAACTCTCTGGTGACTTAAAAATTTATCTTCATCTTTCATGAAAAAGTCTGTATCTTCATGGCAACCCTTATTTACATTCAATCTAATACAATTTAGACAAAAAGCGATTTAATAAAGTTTTCCATACAATCAAATTTCATTAACTGCAGTATATGTAACCAGGAGTAAATCTCACCAATTTCATCCAAGTTAAGTCCAGCAACACTGAAGACTCCAGGGAAGAAGATACTTCCGTATCTCTCACGTCCAATGGTGAATCCATCCACAAAACATTCTCCCTGTTCATCCACCATGTCCCCCAGCTCCTCCATACTAGGGATGGTGTAGTAGCCGGGCCTTGTCAGGGTGATGTCAGCAGCATGAGGAGGAGGAGGTGTGGTCTGTAATAAAAAGTGTACCAAAAGTCAATTAACACATTAAACACAGACATAAATAAAGGCTACATTATGTTCAAATGTAATTTCTAGTCAAATTAAAGAGGTTTGTTGTAATATTCATTCTTTATATAAATACAATGAGGTTTAGTGACTAAGGTCAATCTTCACAAGAATTTTCAATCAAATACATTTTGGAACATTTCCTTCAAGTTAATAATGTCAATAGAATAGAGGTTCTGATAATACAACAAGTGGAAGAGTGTGACATTTCAATGACTACACAGTCACCTTCATCAGACAAATGACCAGTGTGAAGCACACTAACACTGACATACATAGTGTACAAGATGATGTGTTTTTTTTGGTCTATGATCAGTTTACCATCTCATCATACTATTTTCAGTTTTGGTGTATAGAGGATTTTATTACAGTCAAAAAAGTTGGAAGATTCTTTACCATCTCATACACTACATAAATCAGTGCTAGTCTGCTCTACACCGATAATTTGCCTGAAGGTGACCATGTAATCACTGAAATGTCACACTCTAATCTTCTACTGGTTGTGTTATAAGAACTTCTATTCTATTTTCAATCAAGCTTTTTTTTAATTTCAACAAATAAAAAATTATCTAAATTTCATACAAATGATGATTCATATATACATATATACAGTGTATAAGACATACCGGCCTCCTCTCCATACTGTCCTCTGCCTGTGACATGTCGAGGTCTGTTTCATCGGGTGATCGCGACGTGATACGATTTGGAACCTTTGGTACATTGAGCATTGCCATGGTATCGTCCATACTTTGGTTGTTGGGTTTCTGTACAGGGGTGGTCAACTCTGGCATCTGTACTACTGGCTCTGTATGTACAGTCCTGTAATAACACACCAAGTGATGTTTATACATCAATTCATCAGGTCCATATTATTGTTTCATAAAATGACATGCCACCAGTCAGCTCCAGAATGATCTCACATAAGTATCATCATTCTATGAATTGAATTGCCTTGATAAATACTGTAATTCATATATTGGTTGGTAGGATGTTAAGTAATTTAAATCCAAACCAAACTTTGAGAAATGGAGGTACCCTGTCCATCAGTATCTAGTAGAGTTAAGACCTACAATCACTGTTGATAACTTACAGAGAGGTGTTAGAGGTATTTGACCCATCAGTATCTAGTACTGACCTACAGTACTATAATAATGGTTGATAACTTACAGATTGGTGTTAGAGATACCCTGCTCATCAGTATCTAGTACTGACTTACAGATTTATGATAATGGTTGATAAATTACATATTGGTGTTAGAGGTATCTGGCCCTTCAGTATCTAGTACTGACTTACAGTCCTATAATAATGGTTGATAACTTACAGATTGGTGTTAGAGGTATCCTGCCCATCAGCATCTAGTACTGACCTACAGATCTACAATCACTGTTGATAACTTACAGAGAGGTGTTAGAGGTATCTGGCCCTTCAGTATCTAGTACTGACCTACAGTACTATAATAATGGTTGATAACTTACAGATTGGTGTTAGAGATATCCTGCCCATCAGTATCTAGTACAGACTTACAGACCTATGATAAAGGTTGGTAACTTACAGAGAAGTGTTAGAGGTATCCTGCCCTTCAGTATCTAGTACTGACTTACAGTCCTATAATAATGGTTGATAACTTACAGAGAGGTGTTAGAGATATCCTGCCCATCAGTATCTAGTACAGACTTACAGACCTATAATAATGGTTGATAACTTACAGAGAGGTGTTAGAGGTATCTGGCTCTTCAGTATCTAGGACTGACTTACAGATCTATAATAATGGTTGATAACTTACAGAGAGGTGTTAGAGATATCCTGCCCATCAGTATCTAGTACAGACTTACAGACCTATGATAAAGGTTGGTAACTTACAGAGAAGTGTTAGAGGTATCCTGCCCTTCAGTATCTAGTACTGACTTACAGTCCTATAATAATGGTTGATAACTTACAGAGAGGTGTTAGAGATATCCTGCCCATCAGTATCTAGTACAGACTTACAGACCTATAATAATGGTTGATAACTTACAGAGAGGTGTTAGAGGTATCTGGCTCTTCAGTATCTAGGACTGACTTACAGATCTATAATAATGGTTGATAACTTACAGAGAGGTGTTAGAGATATCCTGCCCATCAGTATCTAGTACAGACTTACAGACCTATAATAATGGTTGATAACTTACAGAGAGGTGTTAGAGGTATCTGGCTCTTCAGTATCTAGGACTGACTTACAGATCTATAATAATGGTTGATAACTTACAGAGAGGTGTTAGAGGTATCTGGCCCATCAGTCTCCAGTACTGACAACTGTTGACTGGGTTCCCCAATCACCGATGATGACCGACTTCCAGGTGATGAGGAATCAGATCCACCCTTCTTTATCACCAACTTCTTGATGCTCTTTTTAGGCTGGAATGTCTCATTTCCAAAACTGAATCCTTCATCTTCTAGACCTTCAAACATCTGTGACTGAAATATAAGGAAAGGCTGCTTAAAAATGAGTTAATTTAAAGTATTTGGAATGGAAAGCAAGCAACTCAATAAACTTTTTTTTAAATATGCATAAACGTATCACAGCCATTATATCTTTCATTTCAATTTATGAAAGACCAGTTTTAATCTTTAATAGAACAAGCAGATTTTCACAAAATGAAAGATGTATTACAAGATATTTCTTAGTTTTGATTAAAACAAAACTGCTAATTATCATATCAGCTTTTTCTTTTCCACATTATCACCATAAAACATCATATCTAGTGCTCAGGGCTTCACTGTCATTTTCATCCTGATTAATTTCATTGTGTTTATCCAACACCCTGTTTTCTACCTTTGATCCATTCAGCACACTGTGGAGAGACTTGGGTTTGACTCGTGCCGTGGGTCTTGGGCTGACCTTGAACTGGTTGCTAAGAGCAGCTTTCTGAGCTGCTGGATTGGTGGGCTTAAGCAGTTCTTCTCGCTTGATTTCACTCTGAAAATTTCAACATCGATATCACATACAATGCAGTGACAAAAATTTCTAACGAATACCTTCAGAAAGCAATACTTCATATTTTCTTAAAAACAAAGTTTTAGAAAAATAAATAAAATAAGAATGTCACAAAGCAATTTTACCTGTTTCAGATTCATGAAAAGTGGTGAGTCTCCATAAGGGGAGTTTACCAGGTTCATCAACTGTTGCTGTATCTGAAGCTGATTGGCTGAGTTAGCAACAGCGCTGGGTGCCCTGAAAAGTCAGTTGAGGCAAAGTTCAGGTTTAATTAGAAAAAACAAAATAAAATTGATACATTGTTAACCTTATACAGTAAAAAGGGTCACTTTGAATATAAGTATCTTACATTTCAAATTGAAGTGGGATAACTGTACACTTGTTGTTGACAAGGATATTTATTTTTGAAATTATGTTACTTTATAAATACACATTTCAACATTAAATGTTTATGAGGCCATGATTAAACTGTATTTCCCTAATTTTTATATGTCTGAACTTATATCTATAGGGTAATTAACATGTAAATCTAGATGTGGTGAAATACACGAGCTAACAAGTACATGATCTAGGTTACACCTGACAACAAACACTGGTCTACTTACGTGCTTAAGGTAGTGTTTCCCAGAGTCAACTGTGTGTTTGCAGAAAGTCCTAAAAACATCAAATGTAATCCTTTTTTCAGCATTACTGGATATTTCAGAGATATCAAAATCAATGTTCACTATACAATATTTCAGCTAAGTCTGTGAACATATCAAGTCAAAGTACCAACCTTCTTTACAATCTCAATATTTCATCTAAGATTACTGTTCTTCCGTTTATCCCATATCATTTAACAATCGCATGGAAAGACTCATTTGAAGACTTCCAACATTTGAAACCAAAATTGAATTGGCTATATGAAACTTTTAATGAAGAATGCATTACCTGGGAATGCTGGTGTAGCGGTGTTTCCAAAGCCTCCAAAAGCTGGTTTGCTGAGGGTATTATTGAATGTGTTGTTGAGTGCCAGACTTGGGGTGCTGGTGGCACCAAAACCTAATGGCTTACTTCCAAACAAACTGTTACCAGTACTGCCTTTAAAATAAAAATACCTAAATTGTTTACAAATTTAACAATGAACTACTCATAATATAGCTTTTGATAGTTTTTCCTCAATTTTTCAATTTTCTAAGCAAACAAATACCAAAATACACATATATAGTGAAGGCTTGGAGATACTTTTCTACAATCCCTAAACAGGACTGAGTAGATTAGACCAAAATACAAACAAATGTCTTTCCCAAGAAACAACTAATTTCAAGGGCCAATATATACTCTGTACAAAACATGGGTCTATGAGAGGAAGTTCTAACATGAAAGTGTGACCTTATGTGTCTATTTCACTATCTTTTGCAGTAACTTTTTTTCAATGCAAAAAAAGCAACAGCACAATTTTGACATCAGAAGAACTGTATGATGTATGCTTGCATATATACTTACATCTATATTTGTACAACACAGCATGCATGACCCCAGTTTGCATTACCAACTACTTAGGTTAAGCTACTTCAAATGTTGAGGTAACCAACCCCTAATCAGGATTTAAATCATCCGTTCATAACAACAATTTGGATGTTTCATAATATCACAACTAAAAAGGAACTTCCCACAAGCTCTAAGCTAGTGTCTACACATATATGCACATCCATCAACAACATGTGATACACAGGCTCTCGTCCCTCAAACATGGTAATCTACAACACTTCAATCTATTAAAATGATAAATATATTGTGCCTGTTAGATTATCTTGTACAAGGGAAGTGAAGGTTCAAATTATATTACTGTTAATGCACATAAACACAAAGTTTTTTTTACAAAAATAGACAGAATCTTCTCTATAACAGTTCTATTATAAAACAGAAATGATCAGAGAGCGATAATGAAACTGATAAATTATAGTCAACAAAAGAAATCATTCTAAAAGAACCCAATTTTCACAAATTCAGTACATTTGATTCTGATGCTGAGTTATACTGACAAAAAAAGAATTGTTAGCAAAAGATAATTGGATGCGAGAAGCAAATTCACACAAGAGATTGAGAGATGTTGAGAGCTATAGAAACAAACATCCTGACAGCCTGTTGTTCTGCAGAGTCTACTATACAGAAAAGTTTATGACACACAGCACAAGGCATCTCTGTGATAAAACATTGTCTTAAGTACTCATTCCAAACTGATTTTTTGTATTACTAGAATAATGTGAATGGTAGAATATCAAACCTTTAAATTACATTTATATTTCCAATCTCCAGAATGTGAAAAACAATACATGTTCTAAGAAATAAAATATCTATAAATGTATTTCTTTTTTCAAATTACATTTAATGATCACCACCAGGACAGCATTATTCTGTATCATTATTTATGTTGGTGAAGAAAAATGCTTTATTCACAGAGAAGCCTTAAGATGGATTTAAAATGGTGGTGATACCTACCAAATGTAGCATTACCAAACCCTCCAAAACCAGTGCTATCTGGTAGGGGTTTTAAAAGAAAAAAATGGAAACCCTTTAAAAACTAATTATTTTGGCAAAAGAATATATTTATTTCAATAATTAATTTTCCAGTTAAAACAAATGAATTAGTCTCCATTTTAAAGGAAAATTTATGTGAAACAAAAAAAATTAAATAAGAAAAAAATGCACCTATTATCATATACTAATTGCTGTTTCACTAAAAGGAGTTTATAATATAACTTAGACTATGCAATGTGAATATTATATAAACATGATGTCTTACTAAAAACTGAACAGAAGTTCCACAATATCAGTGGGTTGTTGTAAGTATGCCTTTTGAGTAAAATTTCTAAAAACTTTGTGTTTGCCAATGCATGTTTATATGATCAGAAGAGTAATCAGGTTGACATTTTATTACAACTGATCAATTTTCAGCATTATCCATTAGCTCTCTAAAAATACTTGAATATTTCCTTCGAAAATTTCAGTGTCCTTTTTAAAACAACCAGCAGAGATGCTATTGCTTGTGTTAACGTTTTGTTATCCCAATGACAAATTGATGCACAAACAGATGGTCTTTATATACTTAAGTTGTGTATTCATGAATCTGAAATATCAGACGTATTGCCTGTAACAAATGGCTCGATTTTCAAAATAACTGACACCTGTTGTACCAAAACAGTAACTGGAAGAAGATCCTTCCAATCAAGACATTTTGAATAGGTAGCATTAATTGATTGCTTTGCAATGCTTAATCCACTTACTTCCAAAAGTAGACGTAGTTGTGTTCCCAAAGAGGCCAGTCCCTGTACTGTTTGCTGGTTTAGCAAACAAATTAGATGTCTGTGATACTCCGAACCCCGTTGGTGCTGATGTGGCAGCTGCCCCAAAGAAGGGCTTTGGTTTGGCACCAAATAGACCTACCTAATAACCAGAAAATTAAGGTGTATATAACTTTCATTCTCAATGACTTGGACTAAAATAGGGGTTGTTACCTATAGTTTTTTAATTAGGATGGAGAATTAAATATCAAATTTCAATTGGAAAATGACCAAACTATTCACCGACTTCTTGCAGCATGAATGATTCTAGTAATTATTATTTTCACACAATATATAAAACAATAGCTGGAAAGACAGACTAATGTCACCAACTTAATATTTGTATGGTGATTTTCAGGCTTATCTCATGAATTAAATGAACTAATTAACATTTGGATAGTGATTTCCAGATTAATGTCACCAACTTAATGATTGCATTAATACTTTATGCCTGATTTTAAGACAAATGTCACCACAAACTTAATGACCTATTAATATTTGTATGCTGATTAATGTTGTCAAGACTAATAGTTACCCCAGTAGTTGCAGTCCCAAATCCACTTGTGGCCCCGAAGCCTCCTGACGGCTGTGCGCCAAAGGTAGAGTTCCCGAAGAGGGAGGGCTGGGTTGAGGTTACAGCAGATGCTCCAAATCCACTTGCCTGTTAACCAGAAAAGTTTTGTTAGTGCACAATTACTATCTATTGGAGACAGTCACCACTATTTTATGAACAAGTAGCACTAGGTGACTTTCAACCTGTTAGCAGTTAATGAACAAAACTGATATGAAACCACCTTTTTATACCTTTAAACTATGACTATTTTTCAATACCAGATCATTACACAATTTCACACAAATCCTTTGTTTAATGTCATTTTAATGTAAATATATTACTATTCCAAAACAACCAATAATGGTTCCCCTTGATGTGAGGTTTTAGGGATACCATCAATAACAACCATGGTCAAGACTATTTTTGTGAAACATTCATCCATAATTCAATAAATTATTTAATTTTAAAAGTAAGGAAATCCAACCATGGACAGAAGTGATTTTTTATAGAAAATTGGAGTGAAATAATGTTTCACATAAATAGTCTTAACCATGGTTGTGGTCAATTGTTAAACCTTCAGATACCTTAGGCTGATTGCTTCCAAACAGTGAAGTTCCTGTGTTTCCAAAGCCAGTACCAAACCCAGCAGTACTGGTGGCTGTGCCAGTTGCAGTACCAAAGATGGATTTGCTTTGACCAAATGGGCTGGCGGTAGCTGTCTGATTCTGTGGCTGACTAAAAAGGGACGACTGTGTTGCTGGGGTAGTTCCAAACGCTGGAAGGAGAAATACATTTGACTCAAAAAATCTATCATTTGTTTTTCCTGTTAAAGTGACAATACAAAGATGTGTAAACAATTCTGGAAAGGCATCAAAATTTGGGAATCATGAGAAATATTCTTAAGCTTATGTTCTAAAACTTGATGCAATAATGAATAATCTAACAATCAAAATGCCAATTATTGTTGATCGTTTAAACCATCACAGTACTGTGAGGCAGAACAAAACATGCCCATAAAATACTTCAGTGCCATGATTTGTGTACTAAAATCAAATGTATGAGAAGAAATAATGAATCCAAATGTTACAACAGAAATCACTACTCATAAAGTCCTACAAGTTTCACAGAGAATTGTTAGGAAGTCGGACAGATCTCCAAACAATATGCAGAAAAAAGGGCAATAACTCTTTTTAAACTGAAATTCAAATGCCAATACAAAAACAAAATAATGTGTCATGATAAAGTTTCACAGAGATATATTGCATTCACCGCCATCCTTCATCTGTAATTGGTAATGTTACTCCCACTATCAAAATGTGTTTAGTTACTTACGTGCTGCTGAAGCTGCAAAACCTGTTGCCTGTGGTTTGTTAAATGTGAAGCCACTAGAGCTAGATGGTGTGGCTCCAAAAATGCCAGACTGTTTGCCTTTCCTCCCAGCTAAGTAATCTTCAACCCTTAGCTCCTGTCAACATATTCAATTATAAATGTTGCATTTATGTCCAAGAAAGCAATGACAATGAACACAGAGATTAATGTAAATATGCCAATGGCATTTGAAACATTTGAAAAATGCAATAAAAAAGGAAATAATCGAAGCCTTCATCATTCTAATCGACAAGATAATGACCCCCAAAATAATAAACCCTCAGATAATTTCTATTTTCAGTCAAGCAGTTAAAAATCATTCAGTCTGAAATTCAACTGATCAAGAATTTCTCAAGTTCTCCATTAACCTTTTCTGAAAGATCTTCTTACCTCCAGACTTTTGTTCTGATATTCTTTCATGGCAGTTATACACTGGTGGCGTGTGCTGATGTGTGTGCTCACTCCATTCTTCACCATGGTGTCCTGACTGACTGGTGCACTGAATTTCAGGTTTGTGCCAACCTGGGAATTCTGCTGCTGTTGCTGACCAAATCCTATACACAGATAAAATCAATAAAGCGTCTATTTTCATCATATCAAAGGTGGGTAAGAACTTTAAAAAGTTTTATTTCAGTTTAAGGGAAAAATTTTAGTTATGAAAGTCAAAGCCAAGTATCAAAAACATGATTGATCTTGTTCTTGAAATATCAAGTTGATATTTTAAATCTAGTCATTACCACTTGTCCCAGCCGTCTGTCCAAACAACGCAGTGTTACTGGTTTGCTGACCAAACAGACTTGTCCCTGTCCCAGGGGTGGAGGTAGCTCCAAATCCTAAAATAACAAGTAATAAACATTACAAAAAACGCCCGTCCTATGTTGAGCAACCATAACTGGATGAATTCCAGGCGGTAATTTTGGTTTCTAGGTTGTAAGATTGATTTCGAAGATTATCTACTGAATTTCTATAAAGTTAATGGTGCCTTTGCAAAAACTGCTAAGACGGTTTGTAGCAAAGGATATCTTTGATTCGTACGAAGGATTACTGACAACTCTTAAACAAACTGACATTGACGATTGGTAGAAAGGTTTCATTCATAGGAAGGCTTATTGATGATTTGTAGAAATGTTTATTATGATATTTACTAAAGTTCACTGACATTTCGTCATAAAAGTTCACTGACGATTCATTGCCATCATTTCCCCTTCTTGATCGCTGTGTGTTTTACAGTTTGATGGCCCTAATGACCTTTTATATGTTGACGGGTCGTTAAGAATGTAATAATAATAATTTCCTCTTCTTGGCTATCAAAGTTACCCAGCTTCCATGACAATAAAACTGCCTCAATGAATTCCATTTAATTGTTATTACGTAAATTATTGAGCAGAAACCTTTTTTGTAATAAACCTTCATATGAAGTTCTAAATTAATAAATGAAAAATCACTCAAGTTATTGAGTGGAAACCTATTTTGCAAATGTACCAAGGGTCGTAACTCTGTAAATAATGGGCTTTTATGGTAATAAACCTTCATGTAAAGTTTCAAATTAGTCTGTAAAAAATTATTCAAGTTATCAATGGAAACGTATGTGTGCCCGCCCGCCCACCCGCGTTAAAACAATACCTCCTGTCTTACAACGGGCGTATAAAAAAAAGAGACAGTTCAAGATCAATTTTGTAACTGACTTTTTACCTGTACACACCAAGGGATTTTTCAAAAACTTCAATTATTTTTTTCCCAAAATAAAATTAAAAATCTCTAATGTATGTGTAGTAAAAGTCTGCCACAACACATTACACTTTTAATGGATAATGTTACATATATCTGTAATTACCTCCAAACCCTGGAGTCTTGGAGCCAAATGCATTGGCGGTAGCTGGGGTTGAAAAAAGACCACCACCTGTATTTTGTTGTGGCTGTTGTCCAAATAGGTTCCCTCCACTGGTACTGCCAGCAGCTGGGGTAGCTCCAAATGCTGAAAACAGATACAAAGTTTTTTCTTGAAATGTGAATATCAAATATTTCAATACAGTAATTATTAAAACACTCATCAATATTTTAACAAAATATAAAATATTAATATTCAAATAAATTACTTTGAAGTACCTTGATAGCTTTTTGGACAAATTTTATATTCTGTATTTAAAGTTTAAACAATAAATTAATTACATTTGTATCATGTTTTAAACGCATTTTTTCTTCAAAAATAAGAGATGAACAAAACAGCTTGTATATTGTAGTATGGAATGGTCTCAACATTCCAGAGCCCCAACTTACCAAATCCAGTCGTTTGTCCAAAGTTCCCAGTAGCTGGCTGAGTCCCAAACAGTCCACCGGAACTGGTGCTAGACTGACCAAAGAGTCCCCCAGTAGAGGCAGGAGTGGGCTGTGCCCCAAATACACTTCCAGTATTGGGAGTACCAAATCCAGTTGTTCCTGCAGGTTTTGCACCGAAGGCATTATTGCCTTTAGTAGCATAACCCATTCAACATACAGAACAAACCAAGACAAATTAACAGGCATGCATGGAACAGAAACTTTTAGAATCAAATTAATGCATTCTATGGAAGAACATGCTTTAAATAAAAGGAAGCTAAAAACAAATTGAAAGTACATGTCAACAAATTAACTTGACAAATAACAAAACCTTAAAACAAATAAAGAAATGAAACAGAAGACAAAGAAATAAATAATTTGATGTTAAGTATATTTACTCCAGCAGCTTATCTCAAAGAATCTGTCTTCCATATATAAATTGACTTTTAATTAAACAAATTTGTTGTGTAATTTTAGTAAATGTGCCTAGCATTTAAAGAACTTCAAAATGCAATGTTTACTTTGTATGAAATTTAAGCTATATACACTCCTTATGTAACAGTGCCGGTAATTGTAATATTTGAAATTCTATCCCAATGCTGTTCTAAATACAAACTGGAAAAAGAGCATTTCAGAGAAAAATCGATACATACCTGGTCCAAAGGGCGTAGCTGTTCCAACATTTGCTGTTAACAAAAGATTATCAGAATCATCTAGAATATCCATGTCAACAAAATATGCTACATCTCTGACTTCATACCTTGTTTCATATTAAGTCAAATTGAAATACAAAGTATCAATTCACAACTAAAATGATTGTTACTTGAGTCATACAAAGAGCACTTATTGGGCATGTATGACACAATAATTATTTAACATAACAAAAATTGGTAAAGTTATTATACAAACTTTGTTCACCAATACATGGACAAAAATTAGAAATGATCAAACGTGGGATTTATAAGTTCAGCATAAATAAGACAAGGCTTATATTTTTACCACCCTTGCAAGACAGAGACCTAAATACATGCATTATCAAATATAATTGCCTTGCTAATGTCTCCAATCAGTCCCACACATACCAGTAGAATCCCTCAACACGAGACTAAACTTGTGTATCAGGTAATTAAAGTGCCTTAATTTACCCATCTATTTGTGATTAAATCCCTCAATGCCATTGAACACAATAATTATAGGCATATCATTACAACTTACTCAATTAATTAGTCAAAGAAATAGGAACCTTACAATAAGCTGTACTTACTGTTTGCAGGGAAACCAAATGGTATCGGTTTTGCACCAAACATTCTGCTACAAGGTGTGATTACTACATGCAATTCTTATAATTGTGATCTCTTTGCGACTGAGCTGAAACAGAGAAAAATCACTTGAAATTATTTGAATACACTTTGATTTACAAGGGGACATTGTTAATGAATCTGATATTATGCTAACATGTCAGTTATCACTATTCATTTTTGCTAAAAAGCATTGTTTAATATGCTGTTGCACGAGTGACATTTTCAATATCATAATTATTTACCATGTAAATATAAAACACAATGTGCCACAATTACCTACAATCATTACAGTTTACTTGATGACTTTGAATCTAAGTCTCCAATCTAGTTCAAAATTGTATTGAGGAATATATTACATTGGATTTAACAAATATCCAACAAGATCAAACGTGCAAAAATTCATATTTCAAAGTAAAAGCATACTACAAGAAGATTAAGAAAACAAGGGATTTGGAGCTTGACATATTTGAAAATATAAAATATCTTATATTTACACATTTCAAATTTTTCACTAGTCACTATCACCAATGGTATTGACCAACATTTTTTATCCTTTTATAGACTATTTAGCCTTAGTTTCTGGATTCAATGGATGCAAATTACATATATTTTGTTAAGACTACAAAATGGTAAGATACTTTTTACAATAGTTAAGTGAGTTTCCTAGATGGCTCTATGCTCCTGCACCAGATGTTGAACATTTTGATGGAAATATGTCTGGAATGGAAACCTGTCCATCAAAATGTCTAACTGGTGAAAGAATCTTGAGAAAACTGAGGCTAGCTTTTGACAATTATTTAAAGAAAAATATATGGTGTGACTTATTTACTTTGGTTGATGTGAATGTTGTTTTTGTAATGATTTTCCATTGATATCATCAGGTCAAGGAAAACCACAAATTTGCAAACTAGCCTATTATATGCAAATTTGGGTATGGAATTGTTACATGAAATAATTAAAACCACTTTTAACTTAGATTTTTCCAATTTTTGTCACAAGTCAGATTTACTTATATCGTCATGTAACCTAACAGACTGCAAAAACATCCTTTTTCTGGTATGTGGGAAAGTACCGAAAATACAATGTAGATGCAGGACTTCCAGCCTATGTTACAATAGTACAGTTACTATGGCGGGGACCATTACCAGCACTTTCAGTACACATCATTGTGTTAAAACTTATTTACTCTGTCACAAATTAATGCCAATTTTAAAAAAATATATTGCAAAAGTTACTGCTTATGCGATTTCTGATATCTTTTAGGAACAAATCCGAACCAAATTGGCGTATCATAGGCTAGTTTACATATTATACGCAAATTTGGGATTTTCCCCGACCTGATCATCACACAATATGTGAATAATTATTATGATACAGCAGCGTTCCCTGATCTTATCATATATGATGCAATGAGAAAAATATGAAATTTGGCACCGGAAAATGTTATAAAAAGCACTGGTACGTCGGCAGTCACAATGCAAAACTCTACACCGCAGCGCGCAGCCCTGCTAACCATTTCACTTACCAGGGAGACTACCAATACCCACGAGTTGTGGTATTTGGTTTTAATCAAATATGTAATATCATTAGTCACATATTTAGACTATCTTTCACTTCCACTTGCCATGCCGGTCTAAGAAAATGGCGGTTGATTTTCCTTTCAAAAAAGGCATAGTCTCCCGAATGTTTGTAGTCGAAGTACAAACTAAAATGACGACCCTAGAGCGGACGACATATCCGGATACGGTTGAGTACTCCACTCCCCCTCCCTCCACCTCTCCTCAACACACGTACACACACACACACACACACACACACATTAACACACACATTCTTTTTCCATTTGGTTTGAAAGAGGAAAGGGGATGGGAACGCCAATATGAACCATGATTTAAAATCTTTTTAAAAAATCAAATATACACATCTAATGATGATGATTTTAGCAATGAAACATTCTTTCCGTAAGTTACTTATGAAAACCGTCTATGAAAACGATGGAAATGTCATGTTGTTATCTAAAAGTGCATGGACAACCAATCGATCGATTAGCAAATCGCCTGAAAACGTTTCAAGAGAAATGACCATCCTAACGCAATGTGACATTCCTCTAAATACAATGCGAAATACATAAATTGTTTGGGATAATATGGGGAGAGAGTGGAGGAGTTGCAGACCTGCCATATATACAAAATCAGATCTGGTTCCCCTTCCGGCCATATTTGATCAAAATCCGCTCAGTCGTCCAAAACCAGTTTTGGACGACTGAGCGGATTTTGATCAAATATGGCACCATGGTGCTGAACATCTGACCCGATGTATATGATAGTATACAGTTTAGATTAGACAATTTCTCTGTATCTCTACTCAAAACATAACCAGTTAAAAGTATTACATTACTTCTTCTTACCACAAAGCATTCTTTCCGTAAGTTACACAATTGCCCAACTATCCTACCCATATAGGGAATCTCTCTCTTTTAAAAACTTAAATCTATTCTGGATAATTTCGTCCTATCATAACACTTTCTACTTCAACAATTCCCACAAATCATATATATAATTACAAAAAAAATCGATGCACGTTTAAGATCTCTCTGAAGCTTTTAGAAAAAGAGCAGGCGTAGTAACGCTAGTCCAGGGGTTAGGACAGGGACGTATATAATACGTCCCTGGTTAGGGATAGGGTTATGCTACACAATTATTTTAAGGCATTTGACAGACTTCAAAATAATCCTAACATAAATTAAATCTATGTAGGCTCTTCCTTTCAGCTTCTGGACATGTTTCAACTTAATAGGCCCTGGAGCCTTCTTCTATAATGTAATCAAACGTTCACCACTACAGACGGAATGCAGGTCGCCCCCTCACGTCGCCAAAACACTGACGTCCGTCGGTGAGACGATACCCGGACACGGGAGGAGTCGCGGAGACGAAGAACCTGTCAACCTACCAGCCAAATCTAAGCCAGTTGTTCAGAAGTTAGTGAGAATTAAACTAGTGGTTAGTAGAATAATTCTAATTGTTTCCACTGTAGAAGTAAGGGTGTTAAAAGCAAAATTCGAACAAAAATAATCTAAAGCTGTTAAATGTTAAATAATATCCCCAAGATAGTTTAATTCATTTTTGAAAATTTTCACTAGCCATTGGTTATCTCTCAGCAGCCTTTATATACATAGAACATAAAACAAATACAAAGTTTTAAGCCTAGTGGCGACACCACCGCTCTCGATTTAGATTATGACTTTGTATTGGTTTTATGTTCTATGTATGTGATGTAATTTATGTAATATTTGTGTTCTGATAAAGGGACAGGTTGCCTCGAAAATTTGACAATTCACGTGTCCGTACTGTTGCCATTACTTCACTGGTCATATACATATATATATATATATATATATATATATGCATTTAAATCTAAATAAAGTATACGTTGTTATATGATTTTACTAAAAGTTTTAAATGTTGAAATATGAAAACAAAAATAGAAAATATTTACACATAAAAAAATAAGCAAGCAAGAAAGAAACAACCATAAGAATTAACATCCCCTTCAATTTTTATCTGGATATATAGGTTAAATAAGCCTGCGTCCAGTATATTGTTATTATTATTATTATATTACTACTATAACATTTTAAACCATAATATTTCAGCCCAGCATTTCTAAGAAGGTGGTAAGACGTGTATTCTATTAATATTTTACACAAAGTCAAGGAAACAATAAACTCAACAACAATCAGCAACGTCAACCTTACCTTTCGTGGAAACACTGTCGCTATTTGCGGGAGTTGCGCTAGTGTTTTATATATAAACGCATCCTATATTTAGTAAAGGGGATTTCCGAGTATCACTGCGTGGTAGATCGTACTAGTTCAAGACTGTTCAGACCAGTTCTAATCAGCTGACTCGACAGTGTTCAATACAGAGGTTTGTACATAATATGACGCCCTATTTTCGAGAAGGATACATTTGCAATTCTGGAATTTAATCAATTTTATGTATAAGTAAGCATTAGTAACATTAGAAGTGAAAAATCCATATCAGATCTATGTTAAACATTCGCGGAGACAACTAACCAATAAGGATACATACAATTATATAGATATTACAATGTAATGTGCGATAAACACGTATTTATAAGAGTAAAACTATTAATATGTAAATATCCAATTTAATATGAATACTCCAAAACTATACTTCAGTATTAAGTCTAATTCACATGGTATTCTATAGATGAATAAAATGGCAGCAATAGGCCTACTTATATGTGTTTTTAGTGTGTTTACAAGTAAATAACATGAAATTATGTACTGTTATCTGTAAGACAGCATTAGTCGTAATATGATGAGAATAAAACATAATAAATTGGTTAAATAATTTCGGCCCGCACGGGATAACGACAATTGCATATGTGTTTTTACGTTTATATACAACGGGGACACATTAATCTGTAGTCAAGATTTTATTAATACACTCATACAAATGTGGTCATACAAATGATAATGTGTAACATATGGACATACTGACAAACAATGAAATATACACGGTAAGGTGGATATCAAGGTACACGAGATCAGAAAATATATACAAATAGGTTTCATTTTTTTGTTTTTTCTTAGAAACAGCGCTAATTGAATTCACTTGTATAGAACTTGAACATTGTAAATATTTAACCAGTATTATTCTAAATTGTAAATACATGTAATATCGATATGTCGAATAAGTCACCCAAGTATATCAAATATTCGGTCATAATTTGAGAGCCATACCGAAGTCTATTCCAATGCACTATTAACGACTCGAATAACCAGCATTTCATCTGTACAACAGTCTACCAGCAAACCTATCGCCCAGGAAGTTAAAATCCCAGTCTAATTTGCATGAATTTTGTCCACCTCTTTTCTGATCTAAACAGGAATACCGTGTCGAAACCAAAACTTTGCGATACAACTTTGTGAAAATGTTTTGCTGAAACAAACTAACAATACGGACTAACCAAAGTAGACTAAAACAAAGTGTGTCTATTACTTACTTGTTCACGTTAACGTATAAACACTCACCATATTAACCCGGATACCATATCACCTAACAGAAACACGTGACTTTAAATTCCTCGAATCAAAAGTTCGTTATCTAAAATCAAAATATGAACATGTATTTTTTATTTGGACGAATAAACAATAAAAGGAAAAAGTAGGCTAAATTCATTTGTTTATTTACCGCCATTTCAAATATCAGACGAAACTACGCTGTTTACGTGCTATTGTAGCACTACTTCGTTCAACCCTAATAAACGTAAGAAACTGATATCGTCAACCTTATTTATGCACTTCCTTTGAATCGAAATGTGGATAAGTCAAAATATTTTCCATGGTCCTTAAATTTCGAGATAACGAGTTTCGGCTGTATTTTACATCAAATTCATTAAAAAAACCCACTGCACGTTCATTAGATAACACAACATTGTAGGTATCATATCGAAGATGAAATAGAATCCTCACCATAGTATTTTCTCCTGTTTTCTGCCACATTTATGTACATTTATGATAACTTCCAGAATATGACTGCTATAACCATTAAGAAGACACTTTTGATCCAGTAATTAGAAGAATAGAATCAAAATTATTGCTTTAATTACGTCATTCAGTTGAGCGTTAGCCCGTTACGAAGGCTTTGGTATCTGTCACCTGACTTAGCTCTAATGGTCCACAACTAACTAGGTTTATAGTCTTCTGTGATGATGCCCCTACACCTCACTAGGTATATATAATTCTGTGATGATGCCCCTACACTAGGTTTATAGTCTTCTGTGATGATGCCCTTACACTAGGTATATAGTCTTCTGTGATGATGCCCCTACACCTCACTAGGTATATATAATTCTGTGATGATGCCCCTACACTAGGTATATAGTCTTCTGTGATGATGCCCCTACACTAGGTATATAGTCTTCTGTGATGATGCCCCTACACCTCACTAGGTATATATAATTCTGTGATGATGCCCCTACACTAGGTATATAGTCGTCTGTGATGATGCCCCTACACTAGGTATATAGTCTTCTGTGATGATGCCCCTACACCTCATTAGGTATATATAATTCTGTGATGATGCCCCTACACTAGGTATATAGTCGTCTGTGATGATGCCCCTACACTAGGTTTATAGTCTTCTGTGATGATGCCCCTACACTAGGTATATTGTCTTCAGTGATGATGCCCCTACACCTCACTAGGTATATATTCTTCTGTGATGATGCCCCTACACTAGGTATATATTCTTCTGTGATGATGCCCCTACACCTCACAAGGTATATATAATTCTGTGATGATGCCCCTACACTAGGTATATAGTCTTCTGTGATGATGCCCCTACACTAGGTATATGGTCTTCTGTGATGATGCCCCTACACTAGGTACATAGTCTTCTGTGATGATGCCCCTACACCTCACTATGTATATAGTCTTCTGTGATGATGCCCCTACACCTCGCTGGGTATATAGTCTTCTGTGACAATGCTCCTACACCTCGCTGAGTATATAGTCTTCTGTGATGATGCCCTTACACCCCACTAGGTATACAGTCTTCTGTGGTGATGCTCCTTCACC